GGAGGAAGCCCATCAGCTGGATTGCCTGCACCTGCTTGACACACAGTCACACACAGGCAAGGAGGGAGGGAGGGAGACACAAGGAGGGAGAGAGGGACAGTCAGGGAGACAGACACAGGGAGTCAGGGCAGGGCCGCAGGGGGCTGGGGGGTAAATGGCCATTGTTTTTCCTGTAAGTTTGTTCTTAAAGATCGAGAGCGCGTGGAAAGCCTTCAGCGGTTTTTCTTGAATGAATTTCCTCGGGGTGGGGGGGGATGCGATAGGACTGACTGCACCGAGACCCAGTCAATAGGGATTTCCATGTGTAGGTGGGATGCATGGAAAATCTCAGCCTGGTTTGGATACTCCATGGTGATGGGTTTCCGCGTGTGTCAGACACACCCGGCTGACCAACAAAATGATAGATTGCCTGCGTGGTGCAGAGACAGAGATGTGAGCTCTCACCGCATCGAGACAGACACCGAGAGAGCAAGAGAGAGAGAGAGAGATTGTGGAGAGACAGACAGTGAGAGAGAGAGAGAGAAGTGGGGAGAGATAGGGAGGAAAGGGGAGACCAGGAATGGGAAAGAGACGTAGAGGAGGACAGAGTGGGAGAAAGAATGAATTACAAGGAGAGAGAGAGAGAAACACACAAACAAAGCAAAGATACAGCAACACAGCTAAAGCCATGGCACAGGTAGACCTGAGCTGTCGGACACATTTGCTCTCTCTCTCTCACACACAAACACACTCAGTCACACACACACTCTCTCTCTCTTGCTCTCTCTCACACGCGCAAACACACTCACACGCAAACACACACTCACACACAAACACACACACACCAACTCTCTCACACACACACACGCACTCACACACACTCACTCACATTCTCACACACCGTCACACATACACTGTCTCATACACACTATCTCATACACACTCACACACAACTCGCACACACACCGACTCGCTCTCTCTCACACCTCTCTCACTCATATTCTCACACACACACTCACACACATACACGCTCTCACACATATTCTCTTTTTCCGCTTCACACTCTTTTCTGTAATACACTCTCTCTCTCTCTCTCTCGCTGTAATTGTACATGGGTTTTATTTTGATCTACGTAACGCTCATTGCCAGCTCATGATGCCAAGCAGTCAGGTTATCCATGATGTAATGGCTGGAATTTGTAGGCGAGGATTTCATTCACTTCATCGTGCCTCTTCCCCACTGTGTCCAGAGTCTAGAGACCAAGCTTAGCAGCTGCACCCAGACCGCAGCTCAGCATCACAGCCTCATCGACTGCCCCCCACCCCCTTTAGAGACAGAGAATTATATATGGAAAAGATGTTACAGAGAGAAAGGGTTTCCAGCACCTTGGGACGTTCTCCTAGCGCGAAAGGTGCTATATAAATGCAATTTGCTGTTGTTTTAAATAGATATACAGAGAGAGGGGTGTCTTCTGTCTCCCTGCTATATGTAGAGTGTGTTTTATATATAGGACGCTTTGGGACGTCCTCCCGACGTGAAAAGCGCTATATTAAATGCAAGGATTATTATTGTTATTGCTGAATGGGGAGGGGTGGTTACTTGAACAGTTTTAACTATAATATAAAGCAACTCTTTATATTTATGTTCAGTATATATATTATATCTAACGTGTATAGAAAGAGGGAGGCTATATATAGGGTGTTTTATTTATATGTATATGATGTGTGTGTGTATATATGGAGAGAGGTAGTTGTATAGAGATGATGTTATATACAGAGAGGCATTATACAGGGTGACCAAAAAGTCGTGATACCATTACAATGTCTAATAAGTCTTATTATGATTATAATAAGATTATAAGTCTTATGAAATTATGATTTTTGCGGGAGGATAATAGCACTACACACACACACACAGGGTGATTTTCCAGCAACACTATCACTATACACGTACTCTCGACGCAGTCTCTATATCTCTCACTCTTTACCTCTTGCTTTATCTTTCACTCCATCACTCTATCCTCTTACTCTCTCTGTCACTCTATTCCCTCACTCTCTCTATCACTCCATTCTCTCTCAGGGAGGCGGTGAGGTGTGAAATCTGACATTTCAGCACAGAGAGGCTGGGGACCAATGCTTTGTGAGAGAGATGAGCTCATTTCTGGCCAACCCAAAAGCATGATGCAGTTGGGGAGGGGAAGGCTCCAACCTGGGGAACAGCTTTAACACTTTCACCACCAGAAATTGAAACGCCACCCAGTCTCAGTTGCAAAGGACCAACCATCATTTGTGTCTTGATGTGTAAGATGGTGCATAGTTTAGAGATCGAGCCTATATTTAGTGGCCTATTTGGAAGCCGCTCGATTTTCAAGATCTGCGGAAATCTGATCTCCAAATTAAGACTCGATTTAGGGATTTTCTTCAATTCTGAAGCCACGACTGCAGTTGTTTCTGTGCTGTGAGGGTGTGAGCAGCTGATTCTGGGACTGCAGGGCGATCTGTATTGAATTCCCTCCTTCATCAATCCTTGCATCCTTGTGTGTCAGCCTGGCTCTCCTCTGAGTCAGAAGACTGTGGGTTCAAGACCCACGTTGGAACTCATAGGGTCCAGGCTGACACTCCAATGCAGTGCTGGGGGGTGTTCCAATGTTGGAGGTGCCGTCCTTCACATGAGCCATTAAACCAAGGTCCCGTCTGCCTGTTGAGGTGGACGTCAAAGATCCAATGGCACTATTCAAAAGAGAGAGAAGTTTATCCCGGTATCCTGGCCAATAATTCCCCAAATAAAATTGGTCCCTCACTCCATGGCTGTTTGTGGGGCTGTTGTTGAGTTCGCTGAGAAATACAAAGTCACTACACTTTACAGTGAATCCTGTGACGCGCCTTGAAATGTCGTCCTGACTTGAAAGGCGTTATATCAAATGTAAGAATTATTGTTACTTATTAGGCATCAAGACAATTTGTTCACAGCAAAATCACAATGAGAGCAATGGGAACGAGAATGAGGTTTGAAAGTGGTTGAAGGAGGGAATCAAGTGCTCTGGGACACTCGCCTGCGCGAGGGGCGAGACATAAACACAAGTTGTTGTTGAAAGAGGTTTGCCCAGAGTGCCTGAGGGTACAGTACACATGGCGACATACATGGAATGATGTACGTGGGGTGATGTGATTTGCACTCGGGACGCAATCCCTGTTGTGAGGTGACGTTTCCGGCCGAGGGAGGGGGAGGGTTCCCTGAGCACACGCTCGCTGTGAATGCCTCTCCTGAGCTGGAGCAAGCGCTGGTGGTAACCAACTGAGATGCTGGTCTGCAAATCCCGCTCCAGAGACACAGAGCCACGGGTTACAGACTGGAGTTCATCATGCGGTTGCTATGGTGACCCTGCCTCCTCCATCAGCCCAGCCCGCGGCCTAGTCCCTCTGGGGAGGGAGGCGAGCGAGTCTCCTGAGGGAGGGAGCGAGGTGGGGGTGGGGTGGGGGAGAGGGGAAGCTTTATTACTGGGTTAGGTAATGTTTGCGGGAGGGTCATTAATGGGGGCATTAATCAATAGGAGGAGAGCGATCAGGGCAGGGATGGAGCTGAATGGATCAGACTAAAATATATATTATTTATTACTAAAATAGAGTTGAATGAAATGAAAACACATTGCAAGGCTGAGAGTTTGCGGGCGGGTTATTAAAAGCGCCGAATGTTTGAGGGGGAGATAGAAATCACAATCTTATTAGTAAAACAAGCATCGGAATCAGAAGCAAACCACTTAATGCAGTCTGTTTGTTCTCTCACTTAATCCTGTGTACCTGACGCTCGCCACACCGTGTATATACCACACAGCGCCACCCACACAGTGTATGTCAGGTCGAGACATAAAGATGGGGAAGGAAGGAAGGAAGGAGGGAAGGAAGGAGGGAAGGGGCAAGGCTGAGGGATAGAGGAAGAGAGCTCCAAAGTTTCGGGGCATAGTGTCTGAAAGCGCGGCCACTGCTGGTGGAACAGAGGGCGCGGGGGACAAGCAGCCCAGTGTCGAGCGGAGGCAGCGGGTTGTGGGTTTGGTGGGTGAGCAGGTGGGAGAGGTAGGGAGGTGCCAGGGCGTGAAGGGATTTGAAGATGAACGTGAGGATCTTGAAATCGATCCGTTTGGCGATGGGGAGTCAGTGGAGCCAAGCCTGGGCGAGAACCGGGGCGATGGGGGTACGGAGTTTAGTGCCGGGCAGTACGCAGACAGCGGAGTTTTGGATTAACTGGATTTTGTGGATGGTGGAGCTATCTCTCTCCCCCCTCTATCCTCTTTCTCCCCCCCTATCTCTCTCCCCCCCTATCTTCTCCCCCCCCATCTCTCTCTCCCCCATCTCTCTCCCCCCTATCTCTTTCCCCCCATCTCTCTCCCCCACACATCTCTCTCCCCCCCATCTCTCTCCCCCCCATCTCTCTCCCCCCCTCCCTGTCTCTCTCCCCCTCCCTCTCTCTCTCTTCCCCCACCCCCCGCTCTCTCTCCCCTTCCCTCCCTCTCTCCCCCCACCCCCCGCTCTCTCTCCCCCTCTATCTCTCTCTCCCCCTCTATCTCTCTCTCCCCCATTCTATCTCACTCTCCCCTCTATCTCTTTCCCCCACTATTTCTCTCCCCCCCTCTATCTTGCCCCCCCCCCCCCCCCATCCATCTCTCCCTCCCCCTCTATCTCCTCTCTCTCTCTGTGATGTTTGGCAGCCGCGGGGAATCATTTTTAACGGTGATAAAAATAAACCATGACATCAGCGGCTGAGCTCAGACTGCAGGAACCCATCAAATCAGCTACCGTACTGTCCGATATATAACCCACACCCGTGTGTGCGTGGGGGGGTGGGGGGGGTTGGCTGTCTATGTGTGTGTGGATGGGGGACAGTGTGTGTGTAAGGTGGGGCGAGGGGGGCTGTTTATGGGGGGGTGGGAGGGGGGGACCTTTCTGGGGGGTGGGGCTGTGTTTATGTGGGGTGGGGAGCGAGAGGGGGCTGTGATGGTTGCTGCGTTGACAGTGCTGTTGTTGCAGTTCTCGAAGGACAAGTACATCCTGGACTCGAGCCCAGAGAAGCTGCGGTGGGAGCTGGAGGAGGAACTGAAGCTGAGCAGCAATGACGTGCGGAGCCATGCCTGGTACCATGGCCACATCCCCCGAGAGGTCAGCTCACCCCCCTCCACACTGTCCCCCCACCCACACTGTCCCCCCACCTCCACACTGTCCTCCCCACCTCCACACTGTCCCCCCCACCTCCACACTGTCCTCCCCACCTCCACACAGTCCCCCTCTCCCCTCCACACTGTCCCATTCCACCCTGTCCTTCCCCCCCCCCCACCTACATTACAGTCCTCCCCCCTCCACACTGTCTCACCTCCTTCCCCCTCTGCATTTCCCCCCTCCTCACTGTCCCCCAATATCCCCCCAACCCCCCCAGAACTCTGCAACTCATATTTTCTCCTGCAGGCTCCAAGACCCCATCACCCCCCACCCTCGTCCGGAGCCACTGGCTCCCCATCCCCCAGAGGATTCAGTTCAAGATCCTCGTCCTCGCCTTCAAAGCCCTCCATGGCGCTGCTCCTCCCTAACTCTGCGACCACCTCAAACCTACCAACCCGCCCGCTCCCTTCCTTTAGCAAATACCACTAACAATGCCCCCACCCCCACTCCCACACACTACCCCCAAAACCTCATTGCTCCCCCAACACACTACCCCCTTCCCCCGCAGTTGGGTTTCCATTGACTTGGGTTTCCCTCTTGATTCTGGCCCGGGAGCAGGTGTCCGAGAACCTGGTGCAGCAGAACGGAGACTTCCTGATCCGGGACTCGCTGACCAGCGTGGGCGATTACGTGCTGACCAGCCGCTGGCGGGGAGACCCTCTGCATTTCCGCATCAGCAAAGTACTGCTGAAGCCCAGCGTGGCCTACACCCGAGTGCAGTACCTGCTGGACAACCAGAGCTTCCACACGGTGCCCTCCCTGGTCAGCTTCTACGTGGGCAACCGCAAGCCTGTGTCCGAGCAGAGCGGAGCCATCATCTGCTCCCCCATCAATCGCACCCTCCCGCTGCGCTACCTGGAGGCCAGCTACGGGCTGTCCGGCAGCAAACATGGCCCCAGCCCCTCGGCCCCCGCCCAACGCGGCAGCTATATCAAGCGGCGCAGTGTGACCATGACTGACGGGTTGACCTCAGACAAGATTATCAAGAGCAACGGCTCCTCCAACAGGTGAGCGAGGCTTTCCCGGGGTGGGGGTGGGGGAGGGTTTTCCTAGTTTGGGAGATGAGCTGTGTGTGTGTGTGGTGGGGGGGGGAGGGGGGTGGGGGAAGCTGTGTTTGTGGGAGAAATCCCCATGATGGGGGGGCGAGGGATGCCTCATTGTGGGGAGGGGTGGGTGTGGAGTCAGGTGAGGGTTAGGGTTGGGCTGTGAATATCTGCGGACTCTCAATGCCCGATGCACGGCACTTGTGGAGGAACGAGGATGGGAAGGAGGGTGCGGAGGTCATCACGGTCGGCGAGACAGATGGGGAGAGAGAAGCACAATAAAGCGTCTGCGATTACCATCTTGTGGTAAGGTGGCACTGACCCGCTGCTGCCCTCTCCCCAGCACACCATCCCCGCACCACAAGGAAGCGATGCGGAATGTAGCTCTGAGCATGGATCAGATCAAGGATATGCACTCGGCAATGTCACCAGTCAATGAGGTCGCCTTGTCCCCAGAATACAGCACAAGTGAGTACTGTCCGGCCCCCGGTCACCCTCACGGCTCAATAATAACCCGTGGGTTTGATACAGCGACGTTCACATAGCGAGGAATGTCTCAAGACGCTTAATAAATAATAATAATAATCCTTGCATTTGATATAGCGCTTTTCACGTCTTTTAGACGTCCCAAAGCGCTTCACAGAATATACTGTAAAGTGAATTGACTGCATATTTGTGGGCGAACGCGGCAGCCAATTGCGCACAGCAATGTCCCACAAACAGTCGTAGATTGAAATGACCAATTTATTATTGTTTTGGGTTTTGGAGGGATTATTATTAGGTATGTGGAGTAAGGAAACTTGCCCAAGGTTTCGCCCTCTGCCTGGAACTGAACTCAGGTCTCTCGCTTGCAAAGCGAGTGCTCTAACCACTGAGCTACAGGACTCCACACATCACACTGTTTATACATGGCAATGTCCCGCAAACAGCCATGTCGTCGCTGACCCGTTTTATCTGGGTGGGGATTGTTAGCCACGACACCGGCTGAGAGAGATTCCCCTTCTCTGCTAAGTCGAGTCACTCCCTCACTTGTACCTTTAATCCATTCTAAAGACGCGCTTTATAAGCTTAAAGCGGTCTCGTTTCCCTCAATGCCTCCATTGTGAGGGGGACACAGAGACAGTAAGATGGACGAGCAACTGATGCGTCTCATTTTCTCTCCAGGTTTAAAGCACAACAGCTCCCTGGGTCGGCCGTGCCGGGCAGGTTTGTCCTCCCCAGTGCTCCGCAGGTCCAGCGAACCTCAGCTCAGCCCGAGCCCCGGCAGCCAGGACCCCGGCCCCTGCCCCGAGCGGCCCACCCCATCCTCCAGCTCCCAGCACTGCCCCAGCCCCGGCCCCAGCCCTTCGCTCAGCGCCTCGCAGCCAGAGGGCGGCCAATACTGCCAGCTGAGCTCGCTGTTGGTCGCGGAGCGGGAGAGACACCAGAGCTACGTGGCACGACTGAGGGGGGAGGAGAGCCCTGGCGTGGGGGGCAGCGGGCTGGAGGCCGACACCTATCTCCCCTCGGTGCCCGGGAAGGAGGGCGAGCGGCTGACGTTCTCTCCCCCGGTGGTGGAGCTGACCTCATCGTTCAGGCCCAGTGCCTTCCATTCGCTCCTCATCCCCTGGGAGAACAAACCTCTGGAGATGGCTGTGCTGAAGAAAGTCAAGGAGCTGCTGGCAAAGGAAGACACTAAAACAATAGCCAAACACATCACCAAAGTGGACTGTACGGTAAGCCATTCGCCCCCTCCCCCACTCACCCCAACGACCCTGCCATATGGCGGAGAGGAGAGAGAGAGAGGTCTGTTATTACTGTGTGAGAGAGAGAGTAATGCCTGTTATTACTGTGAGCGACAATTGATTGAAGTCTCTCCCGCTGCTTCTGCAGGTGGCGAGGATCCTGGGAGTGACGAAAGAGATGAGGAAGCAGATGGGAGTAGGATCTGGTCTGGAGCTGCTGACTCTCCCCCACGGACACCAATTGCGCCTGGACCTGATTGAACGGTAGGAGCAGCGTGGGATGGGGTGGGGGGAAGGGGAGGGGGTTGTGCCGGGCCGGGCTGTGCTGTATTGGGCAACGCTGTGCTAGGGGCTGCGCTTTGTTGAGCTGTGCTGGGCTATGCTGTGCTGGGTTGTGCTGTGCTGGGCTATGCTGTGTTGGGTTGTGCTGGGCTGTGCTTTGTTGAGCTGTGCTGTGCTATACTGTGCTGGGTTGTGCTGTGCTGGGCTATGCTGTGCTGGGCTGTGCTGTGTTGGGTTGTGCTGGGCTGTGCTGTGTTGGGTTGTGTTGGGTTGTGCTGGGCTGTGCTGTGTTGGGTTGTGCTGGGCTGTGCTGGGTTGGGTTGTGCTGGGCTGTGTTGTGTTGGGTTGTGCTGGGCTGTGCTGGGTTGGGTTGTGCTGGGCTGTGCTGGGTTGGGTTGTGCTGGGCTATGCTGTGTTGGGTAGTGCTGGGCTGTGCTGGGCTATGCTGTGTTGGGTTGTGCTGGGCTGTGCTGGGTTGTGGACTCAGTCTGGCTGCTACGTTTGCAGGTTCAACACCATGGCTATCACGATGACGGTGGATATTCTGGGCTGTACGGGCAGCACTGAGGAGCGAGCTGTGCTGCTGCACAAAACCATCCAACTCGCCGCCGAGCTCAAGAGTAACTTGGGCAACCTGTTTGGCTTCGCAGCCATCATGAAAGCCCTGGAGATGCCCCAGGTCAGTGCTTGGGCCTCAGCGCACGGGGGTCAAGGGGTGAGATGGGCGGGAGGGAGGGGGGGGGGGGGACGAGGGCGACGCGGGGTTCAAATCATAACAACGCAGTGCTCATCACTTCAATTCCTGTTGGGTCTGTGTGTGTGTGTGTGTGTGGGGGGGGGTCTATGTGTGTGTGGGGGGGGGTCTGTGTGTGTGTGTGTGTGGGGGGAGGTCTTTGTGTCTATGTGTGAGTCTGTGTGTGTGGGTGAGGGGTTTCTGTGTAGGAGTTGCTGTGGGGGGGTGGGGGGTGTTGGGGGTTCTGTGCGGGGAGGTGGGGGGTGTTGGGGTTCTGTGCGGGGAGGTGGGGGTGTTGGGGTTCTGTGCGGGGAGGTGGGGGTGTTGGGGTTCTGTGCGGGGAGGTGGGGGCTGTTGGGGGTTCTGTGCGGGGAGGTGGGGCTGTTGGGGGTTCTGTGCGGGGAGGTGGGGGGTGTTGGGGTTCTGTGCGGGGAGGTGGGGGGTGTTGGGGTTCTGTGCGGGGAGGTGGGGGTGTTGGGGTTCTGTGCGGGGAGGTGGGGGGTGTTGGGGTTCTGTGCGGGGAGGTGGGGGGTGTTGGGGTTCTGTGCGGGGAGGTGGGGGGTGTTGGGGTTCTGTGCGGGGAGGTGGGGGGTGTTGGGGGCTGTGTGAGGCCGGGGGTAACTCTGGCTCTGGTTCCGGCACAGATCACGCGGTTGGAGCAGACGTGGGCGGCTCTGAGGCAGCGGCACACGGAGGGGGCGGTTTTGTACGAGAAGAAACTGAAACCGTTCCTGAAAACCCTGAACGAGGGGAAAGGTAAAGAGCGGGAAAGGGGGCGCCGGGGGTCTCAGCCCTCGAGTGGGACTTGGCGGGACTGAGGGGTTGTGGCTGAGGGGGCTGGGCTTAGAAGGGTGGGGCTGGGCTGAGTGACTGGGGCGGGGCTGAGTGACTGGGGCGGGGCTGAGGCGGGCGGGGCTGTGGCTGGGCCAAGGTGGGCCGAGCCGAGTAGCTGGGGCGGGGCCAAGGTGGGCGGGGCCGCTCAGGGCTGACGGAGTCCCTCCTGTTACAGAGTTGTCGCCGCTGACCAACACCACGTTCCCCCACGTGCTGCCGCTGGTGACGTTGCTGGAGCGCGGGGCGGCCACTGGACAGCGGCCAGAGCCGTGGGAGAGCAGCGAGAGCGGCGTGGAGGTGGTGATGGCGCATCTGGAGGCCGGCCGGACGGTGGCTCATCACGGTGGCCTGTACCGCACCAACGCCAACCTCCGCCTGCAAGGTCAGCATCAGCCCAAACCCCCTCCCCCCGGGTCCACACCTCCCCCCACACACACCTCCCCCCTCCTCCTTATTACCTATGTGCTCCCACTTGGGTGGTGTTATCCAGAGTTATGGGGTTAACTGTCCAAAGACCACTCCTAACTCAGCTTCACTTGACCGGGGAGTGTGGACGGACAGTGTAGAGGAAGCTTTACTGTGCCTCTAACCCTGACGGACAGCGTAGAGGGCATGTTACGGTGTAAGCGCGGAGTCGCTGAGCCTCTATCGTTTTTCTCTCCAGGATTTCAGGAGAACGAGCAGATCATGGAGATATTCCAGACGGAGTTCCAGATGCGGTTGCTGTGGGGGTGTAAAGGAGCGAGCGGCAGCCAGGCCGAGCGCTACCAAAAGTTCGACAAAGTGCTGAGCGCTCTATCCAACAAGCTGGAGCCGACAGTCCGGCATAGCGAGTTGTAGTGCGGGGGCAAAAATACCTCTTTGAAGAAAAAGGGGCTTTTAAAGGGGATCATCTCTGAACAGAAACTTAAATTTTTTGTGTTTAATCTTGGCCAAATTTTTTAAATCAATCGCCCTTCGAAGAGAATACAATACAAAAGTACATTTGTATAGCGCCCTTTCACATCGGGAGGACATCCCAAGGCGCTGGAAACAGGAATAGTGTGTAGCGCTGTTTAACCCTTGCCTGCCTTCTCAAGCTGTCGGTGTCACTAGCTGTACTGGGTTTAACACTGGAAGCACCGATGGTAGCACATGGTTAGCACATGGTTAGCACACAGGCCGGCCATGCCTGGGCTGGGATCGATGAGATGTCTCTGAGCTCGGAGTGTTTCTGTGGAGATGGGGTTCTCAGCCCATTCTCAGGGCTGGCAAACTCGAGAGGGAACAAGACAGCTAACTGATTCAAGAGCTGAAAAGAGAGTGAGACAGAGAGACTGAGAGGCAGAGAAAGAGAGAGACGGCGAGAGACAGAGAGAGGATTATTTATTACTTTCAAATATTATTGCTTATATTTATTTTGAGGCTGGGCAGGTGTGCGAGTTGCTTGTTGGCCTCAAAGACTCAGGAATTCCTGCTCCCACACCCCCCTCTCCACACACTCACTGACACTCACACTGTCACACTCACTCACACACACAAATAATGAACCAAACAGTATTAGTGATGGAGAGAGGTTAGCGTCTCAGTGTGCTGAGCTCTGCAGATGGCAATAAGCAGCTGGACCGACAGAGCTGAGAGTCTAACACCTGTGGAGCAGGGACCAGGGCAGAGAGCCTGAATCCAGCTTCTCACACAAGCCGGAGTTTCACTGATTCTTAAGTTGAGTCTCAACTCTGAAGCTGTTTTCCTGTGGGTTCTCTGAAGACCTTGGGGAGGGATAACAGCTTCTATGTTGAGACCAAATTTAACGATTCTTCATTCTGAGAAAGTCTTTTAGTCGTCCTCCCCTCCCTCCCTCCCTCCCAGGGCTTGGAATGAAAGTATTAAAGTGTAAGTTACTGTGTGAGATTGTTCCCTTTGAAGTGAAGGTCTGAAAGGTGTCAATGTGTGCGGGTGTTGTACAGTGGGGCCTGAGGTGAGATCTCGGCTCAGGCTGCAATCAGCCCACATCTACATCCAGAGGAAATACACATCAGGAGGGTGGAGTGTGATCTCCCGGCCCCGAGCACAGCTCAGACACTCAGCTGAGTGACAGAGTGTGGCGTTTTCTGGTGGAGGGGGGGCGAAGCTCTGCAGGACTAAGTGCACAACTTCCTTGACCTACGACAAGGTGAGCACTGGATTAATAATGGGAGGGAGCTGGGGCGGGGGCGGGAAGAGGCACCGGCAGGAAATCCAGTCTCAGCCCTCGACAACTCTGGAAACGGAAAAGCCTAGAGCGGTTCCTCTGGCCTCCCTTCACTTCATCCCCAGCCTCACTCACTCACCCCATGTTTCGATTTGTTCAATATAAAATCTAACCTGTCCAGAGGTGAACTCCATCCTCGCTTTTCCCTTCCTCCTCCCTCACTCTTTCCTCCACACCCAGTGACCTGTCCTAATCTAACTGCTGGGTCCAGGATTTCATTTTTTTTTCTCTCCTGCCTCCCCGTGTTGATGTGAGTGATCGGAGTGGATTCCTGTGAGACTCAGTGCTGTTGGGAGGGGGGGGGTTAAAACTGTCCTGGCTCTGTCCAGAGTGGTTGCCCAACCCCCCCCAAGAGTTTGGTGCAATGTAAATAGAGATCTGTAAATAGAGATTTTATGTTCCTGTGACAGGACTAATTGCACGGCTTCCTGCAGAGTGTGATCATTGATGGTGACGTGTCCATTTGTATTAATAGATTGTGTATGAAATCAGCGTTTCAAATGTCAGCACTTGTTGGCGTTAACTGGTGGCAAAACCAAATGTTTTTTTTAATGTGTGAAAAAAAAATGAACGTCACAAAAGAGACGAGACTGAAATAAATCTGTAAATCAAGAGACACTGGGGTGACAAGTGGAGTGACTGTGTCATTTTGTAGTCAAAAGTGGCAGCCAATTTACTGCTCGGGTCCAAATCCCTGACTGTCCAGGACCTTGGGACATCCTCCCGACGTGAGAGATGCTGTGCAAATGTAATCTGCCGTCGTCGTTGATGAAGCTGCATTGGAGCGTCAGCTTAGACTAGTTGACTCCCAAGTCCCGATGTCGGGCTTGAACCCACAACCTCTGACTAAGAGGTGAGAGTGCCAGGCTGATACGCAGCCCATTACCCCTGGAAAGCAATCCGTCAATCAACTAACAACCAGATTCCTAATTACCGCTGGGTAAACAGAGGCATTTGGAGTAAGGAAACTTGCCTAAGGTTTCGCCCCGCTTGGGAAGTGAACCCGCTTGCTTGTGAGGCAAACGCACTAACCGCTATGCTATGCGTTTTAACAAGAAGTAGGGAACATTGGTCCCAAAGCAATGTTCAAACGAGTGATGAGGTTCCCACGCTCCCACACGGAGCAGCTGTAATCCTATACAGGTTGCTTGCTGCCCCCTCCTGGCAACAAAAGGTTTAATCACTCACATTACACTAAATCAGAACCAGAGCGCACAAGAAAAAAGGAAATCAATCACTATTTTCGACCACAAAATTGTCTTTTACTATAATTATTAAAATATGTGTGCGTTAGGCCTTGCGCAGTGGTGGCTCTCTCGCCTCGGAGTCAGCAGCTTGTGGGTTCAAGCCCCACGTCGGGACTTGGAATCAGTCTCAGCTGACACGCCAATGCAGCGCTGGGAGGGTGTTGCCTAATTAATTGTTTTATCTCTGTGTTTGAGGCGAGTTCCAGGCTGGAGAGGCCATCACCCCACCAATGTTTTTGCACACAGGGAAAAAAAAAGCACAAAACAACCAGGTTTACACTTTTCAAAGTGATCATTTAATTAAAGCTTTTAAGTTGTTTATTCCAAGCTAGGATCTGATTTTAGTCCTTTAGAAAGGGAGATTAAAGTCGGGTTTGCATTTCCCGTGGTGTTTACTCTTTCACGATTGGCAATACTGGCTTTAATAACAAAGAACTACGATTCCGTTAATCACAGCGCTGCTCTGTGGTGACAGCACGGGGCTGGGTTACAGTCGGCGTCGCTGGGCTGGACTCACTGCCCGGCTCAGGCCGGCCTCACACTCAGCGCTCCGGCAAACAGTGATATTTCAAATATTAAAAACTTAGTTGTATCCGTACTGCTCCCCCCCACCCACTCATCACCAGGCTCGTAAAATTATTGTCCCATTTTCCCTGATTTCGCCTCCTGCAAGTGAGCGAGCGTGAGGCCAGGTTGCCAGCTGCTCGGTTTGGCTCAGATGTTCCCACAGGTCACTGTCTGTCCGTCCCAAACCCTACGTCCCGTCATGGCTGGTGTAAAATACCACCCCCCTCCCACCCCCACATACACACCAATGGCAAGGACTGTCTGGCAAGCTTTCTCGCTGCTTGTCCAGCTAGGATCACCCTACTCGTTAGGGCTTTGGTTTGAAGGGTTAACAGGAGCTAAGTGGGAGTATTCCCTGCCTCCAGTGAGTGGTCTGGCCTTCCTAAAAGCAGCCAAGAAAGCAGGGGCAACATCAGCACCGCCTCAGGCACTGCTCCATTTGGCCCGAGACAAAGCCAGGCTTGAGCCTAGAGCAGGGCAGCTGATGTCAGCGAGGCGAGGCGAGGCAATGTGTGAGCCGGGCAGGGACGGAGGCAAGCAGTCGCACACTGACTCACATGCATGCACTGAGGGAGGGAGCCACCCAGGACACATATGTGGTGGCATAAAGTCCTCATATATATATATATATAACGAAAGGAACTTAGTACAAATCTAAACAATGTTTTTATATAGAAGCGGGTGAGGCAAACAGTAAGTGTCCACCCGGTCGGTAGCTACTGTCAATACTCTCCCGTTGCTCACGGTAACTTTCTTTGGAGAAGCTGGAGGATGAACTGCGAAGCCCTCCCTCCCCACCCCCATCCTCCCCACTGCACAGAAGCAGCTCAACATTTACACTTTATAAAATCGCGACATTCACGTTGGCACATTTCACAGGGTAAAAAAAAAAACAATCTCAACAAATAAACTCAGTGCTCGGAAACAAGGCAAAACAAAAGTGCACGGCGTTGAGAACAGGCAAAGCTCCCGGGAGATCAAAGTGGCTAAAAGATTTCATTATAAACACACGGATTTCAGGTGGAAGCAACGAATAACTAAAAATCAAATGAACTCTTGCTCACTTTCAAAGGTTTTGTTAAAACTGCTCTAAAATATTTACACAGCAACAAGGGATCAACACTCGATCCCGACATTCCCGGTTCTAGTGGATTTATAGGATAGGGAAAAGGAACCGCCCGAGGGAACAATCCTGGTCTGATCCCAGAGTGAGCGACGCTCCTCAGACACGCAACAGGGACTTCCTCACTCTTGCCATTTCTGCTCCTCACCTCCTGCTGCCTTTAACATGGACATGAACAGTTACATGACTCGTGCGGGGCTGAGCGGATTTATCTATAGAATCAGATTCAAGTTTCATCTTCCTGACAATTCAGAGAGTTTGCAGCGAGATTCCAAGGCTCAGTGCCAGCCCGGTGCGGGAGACACTCACTGTGGAGCAGCAAGCTTCTCTGGAAACGTTGGCAAACACAGACATGAGGGTCGGGTCTGACACATAAGACCAGATTTCAGTGTTAATGGGCAGTCAGTCATTAGACCACAGCAAACTGAAATTCCTTGCATCCCACCCACACATTCTTGGTCTGGTTTGGATACTCATAAGCATGGTGATGGGTTTCCATGTGTCAGACACCGGGCTGACCAAAAAAAAATCATAGCAAAGAATGGCTTCTCTCTAGCTTTCTTGCTGCTTCTGGCTGTCTTGCACCACCGGTTGTAAAGGCTATGTTAGGTGGTCAGTAATGAAACGTCACTGCACCTGATCTTGGTTTACACCACAGCCCATTACAGTGTGGAGTGTGAATTCAGTGGGTAAACGCTTCTGCGCTCCCAGCCAAGCGAGTCCTCACCCAGAGCCCAGCAGCCTCTGTGCTGCTGAACTGAACATCAGTCAGAACTCTTAAACCCAAAAGGTTCTGGACAGAGTGAATTTCAACATCTCAGTAGAGCACCTCCCCACCAACCACACACACACACAGTTAACCAGGAAACACACAACTGAGCAGCACAGAGTGAGACAGGCAGACGACCAGGTGTTTACAGCAGGTGCAGTGATCTCTCTGTTCCGCTCGGCCAATTCTCGGTTGCTGAGGATTTTGAGGGTGACTTGATTTGACTGACGTGTTATAATTCTACCTGATGTCATGATCAACCTGTGGCACATTCCCTTCCTGATTTCTGTAACTATGAGCTAAACCCATCGTGTTATTGTATGCGTGGAGCTGCTCAACAATAACAAATTGCATTAATAGAGGTCTTGAAATGGACCTTGAAGGAAGCAAGGGAGCGGGCGAGGCGGAGGGGCTCTGGGATGGCGTTCCAGAGGTTAGGGCAGAAAGGAGAGGTGGTGGAGAAGAATAGAGTGGTCGACAGTGTCAAAGGCGATAGAGAGATCAAGAAGGACGAGGAGACCGAGAGTGCCCTGGTCACAAATAGACAGAATGTCGATTGTAACGTTGACCAAGGCTGTCTTTGTACTATGGGCACGGCCGAAACCATTCTTGATGAAACCATCCTCCTGAGGTAAACATCATTCAACAAATTCTGTCTGCCACAAGCTCCTGTCCAGCACTGGGCCTGCCTCCCCTCCCCTCCCCTCTCCCTCTGGTGGCTGCAGCGATCACATAGAATAGAACTACCATCAATTTACTGAGTAGGTGGAAATGATCGCAAGTGTGAAACAATAAATCCTGGGCTGGAACAAGGAAAGGAATCTCACATTGAGCTGTGGTTTTGGTCTATAACAATCAGTGAGGTATTCAGGGCTTTGGGATCTGTCGTACAGACGCAAACGCAGGGTTTCAGCTGAATTCTGCAAGTCCTCTCTCCAATGGAAAAATATAATTTGGAATCTTTTCTTACACGTTTAGTCAACATTTATATCGGAATAGCTTTTGTGGGTGAGTTTGTGGCTTAGCTAAAAAGACCGAAAGACCCTTAACGGCCAGTAGCAGTGACCAGGTGATGCTGGGCATCACTTGATAAAGGGCTTGCACTCCGCAACCTGTGGCTGTGTCACTGTGACTGGGGAACACCTGGGCCCTGACATTGGTGGCTGGGCTTTCTAACGTACTGTGTATGAGCTTGTGTCACGCAGCGACTGGTTCCCTGGTCTCCACGAAAGAGAGGCAGGTGAACGGGTGGGGAGAAAGTGTGAACCAGCTCCCACCCCAGGGCTACGTTTTCACTGTTGCTGCGTCGGTGGGGGTGGGGGGGAGCTGCCAGCTGCCACTGCTGGAAGTGATAGCATCAAACTACAGGTTTCCAAAGCCCTGGTCACCCTGGTCTGAGTTCCTGGGCACTTGGGGAGGTCCTGGAGGGACTAACTGGCATCTTTAGGGAGGAAGAAACATTGGCAATAGATTTAACAATATACTGATCAGAGGATAACCAAATTAGCCCTTCGTACACACACACACACTCAATAACCGGATCCCCTTAATGTGGGTTATAGGTACTGTAAATGTAAACAAAAGGGGATTTCTCCCAGATGGGGAGGGAGAAGGCCCAACAGCTGAAACCTTGCCCGAAATAGTTCAGCGGCCGGCAGCTTGAAGACAGCTTTATTCAGCAGCTTCTCCTCCACACGCACGCACACACACAGGGCCACATGCAGAGGATGTGTCACACGAACAGCAGATCTACTTGGAAAAGCCAAACACCAAAAGAAAAGGAAAAATGTGCTGTTGGCCACAGGACAGTGACTCCTGGTTAAGGTGGGCGCAGGCAGAGCAAGGGCGAGCGAGCATGCAGGCAAAACATAGGCTGAGCTGAGCTTGGTGCCAGCAATACTGCCGACATCGGAATGATGGAGAAACTGCAGACAGACAATGTACTGTGTGACCACAACTGCACGGAGCAAAGCCGTTGTGAGTAACCTCTCCCTATCCCAGAAACCGCTGACCGGAGCTGACCACGAACCACAGGAAAAAGCCTGCGGTCACACGCACCCGGTGGCCAAGAGAGGGCATACTGATGCCTTGGCAGATCATTTCCCACTCCGCTTGCTGCTGTGTTAATTTCATGGTATGAATCAGTGGTTTCTTAAGTGAGTTTCAGGGTAAAATATTTCCTAAAATCAACCGTCAACTCCCAAAGGTGTGGTCTGGGTGGTCTGTTCAGTCAGAATAAGTTTAAGCTGACTGTAGAGTGCCCGCTGTTCCAGTTTGAGTTGTGAGACTATGTGCCCCTTGTACAGCAGGCGGGCAGCATGTGGCATTGCTCGTCAGATGACTGTTTGGGGCAGTAAAACGTTTCTTGTACATAAGGTAAAGCCATCACCAGGCTTCACAGTACCCAAACCCAGTGAGCCCAACGGAGGGATGTTTCCTGGCAACATGTGGCATTGCTCAGCTCTGGTATCGTGCTAGACAAAGGCTGGTTCCCCCGTCTTCCCCTCCACCCCACCCACACACACACTCCCGACACACACACACACACTCTCAGACACACACACACACATGCACACACACACACACATCCACACACACACAGGAGGGAGGTTGAAGTCAGAGGGAGAATCATCGAGGTCCTGGAAGCCAGTGACAGAGGGATGGACAGGTCTGTCGGACAATAACCTTCCCTTTCAGTAGGGATGGCACCCAGAAAGAGTCCAAAGCAAATATAGTCAGGAGATAAGGTGTTGGTCGTGGAAGGATTCTGACAAAAAGTGGCAGGTTAGCAGGTCTGCTCTGATGAACGCTATATTACTGTGAGGAGAAACTCCCCAGTTATAAAAATAAAATTAACACAGCAAACAAACTAAAAATGTGAAATCACGCCCGAGGCATCTGTATGCGTTAAGGAATTGAGACTTTGAGGACAAAAGCATTCTGGCTACAAAAACAAGTTGCACGATTTTGATTTTATTCAGAGACAAACTCCAATTGTGGTTCCAATTTATCCTTTCATTTTAGTTTGGCAATATTCGGGGTTCAGGATTCTCAGATTTTTTCCAGAAACGTATTAGAACAAAATGATTGAAAGGTCAACGAGATTTTAATTGCAATTATAATGTCTCTCTCCCCACCATCACCCTGGACAAGTCCCTTTAAAACAGTCCTCAAAGTCAACTCCATGTGCTCTGGTGTTTGGATGAAGGTTACTTACAACCAGTTGCAGCCATTGCGTTGGTCACGAAGTACCTGAAATCTGACAAGTGGCTCTTGAAATTAAAGATTTTCTTTTTTGGTTTTGTTCGTCTCAAAATGAGGAGGGGATTTGACCTTGGCATGCATCTTGAAAATGACTTTTTTTAAAAAAATGGAGAAGTAGCCAAGTTAGTTAGAGCAAGAGGTGGCATGCCATAAAATGAATAGCAAGCATTTGCACCATTTGTTCATTTTTTGTTTTTGATCATTAAAACCAAACCAAGCCAATAATCCAGTAAGTCCTCCGTTTTAAAAATTGATAAGCAGAAGAGGGTGTCCTTGTAAACCAGCTCGCCCATTCTGACAGACCAGCACACCACCTTAGGTACCTAGAGTCCAGAGAGAGAGGAGAAAGGGACACATGTTAGCAACACAAGAAACGGAGTTAAGAGACACCATTGAATTATTCCAATGTGATAACTTTGCTTTGAAAAAGAAATGGCATACAGGATCCTAAACCAAGGGTGATTACTGAGTTCCCATCCAGATCTACAGAACGTTGTGTAATTCTCTTCCATGGCTCTAATAATAATTCAATAGAATCATAGAAATTTACAGAATAGGAAGCCATTCAGCTCATTGTGCCTGTGCCGGCTCTTGGAAAGAGCTATCAACTAGGCCCACTTCCCCATTCTAACCCCAGAGTCCTGCAAATGTTTCCTTTTTAAGTTCCTATTCAATTCGCTTTTGAAAGCTATCATCGAATCTGCTTCCACCACCTTTTCGGGCGGTGCATTTCAGACCGTAACAAGTCTCCTTGATTCTTTTGCCCATTATCTTAAATCTGTGTCCTCTGGTTACAGATAAATAATAAATTGGATCTTGCAAAAACCTTTGGCTTGGTTTCAACGCAGCACTCATACCTTCCCGTTTAATTTACACAGCCTCGAGTGCTCGGAAATGACATGTATTGTTTCTCAAATGTTGCTGCTCTGTGTGTTGTGTAATACCTCAGACTAGGTGCCAGAGCGACGCTGTAACTGAGAGCAGTTGTAGAGCCGAGGTCGGGTCCCTCAAGTCTCTTAATCTAGAGATTCTGGAAGAATGGAATTGTGCGTTCTTCCAGCAGAACAAATTGGTGGAGATTTCCTCCCGTGGATTATGAATAATACCACTCAGTGACTTTCAACGATATTTAGACTTTATCCCATCTCTGTGTTTATTTAAGTACCAATTGTGATGTATTTTCTCAATCCCATGTTTACTGGGCTTGGACTGAGATGCCAGATTTTAGTGTAACCAGAGAGGGGTTAGTGACAAGAGAAAGTCAGCACAAACAGTAAACGCCAATCACACAACCCACAAAGGGAAAACAAGCCTCGTTCAGACAATCTTATTACATTGAACATCGACTCAACTTCACACATTTTAAACGTTCTTCTCTTTTACCTGAAATGTGATCTTTAACACCCTGATGTAAACCAGCATAAGTCTATCTGTCGCCAGCTCCAACAATAAGTAGCTCAAAACTGACACCAGCCTCTTACATTCAACAACAACAGCAACTTGCATTTACAGAGTGGCCCTCAGGCAGGGTAGTGTCCCAGAGTGCTACCATTCAACCGGTCTCCAGAGAACAGGGAGTTCAGATTTCAATTTTATTTTTCGGATTTTCAGAAATCATTTAAAAACATCTGTCAGCAAACACAGAGAGGTTTTGGGAAGGACATGGACCACGTTAATCCACACACTAAGTCGCGGCAGTCGTGGGAACGCACAGAGCTCCTGTCAGTCAATAAAAGTCAATCCTGTGCCAATAAAAGTCTCTTCCATTCTCCGCTTCTCCCCTTTATACCCACTAACACCAGCCATGAACAGCAGTCAGTGGCAAACGTTACCACTAACAGGGTGGGCATCGAAACCCAGAGCCATGAAGGCTGCCATGCCATTCTTCCCCCACTTCTACTGCCACTTAGAGCTCCATCCTGCAGTTCCCCAGGCTTGCCCAGCTTTCAAACACATCTTTTCCACTACACTTTTGTCCACCTTTCTCCCTTCTCCCAGCTAAGGCTCCCAAACAAGACAGCTGTGGGAAGCACTTTGTGATGTCCTCGCTCTGAAAGGTGCTGTTGTATAAAAGTGCAAATTATGGGGAGAACTCACTTCAGGATTACTGGAGATACCAGTCACTGGGCAGGATTCACATTGGAAAACAATCCATCCAAATTAAACCAATTTAAACTTTCTTTCCTCTCTCTCTTTACCCCGTCACCTTTTCTCACTTTCGCTCTCACTCTCTCCCTCACCTTCGAAAACTATCTGATAATCATCAGGAAGCGCGAGTGTTTCAGATCCCTGGGCCAGTAATATACAATTCGACCAAAGCCCCCACAGGCCTTCCTTTGACGCTCTCTCTCGTGGGACTCCACACAGAAATACTGCAATAATATTCAGCACACCACTCTCTGCACTTGTTGGAATCTGTTCCTCGCTAGTTCCCACTGTTATTATGATTCTACTCTCTCACTGAATACACTATTTAATAGGCAGTTGGGTAAAATGGGGAATGGTTAAACCTTTCTCACAATCTATTAATGTGCCTTTCCTGTTAATTCTCAGCTCATTCTCATTGGCTTCACCTAATTATTATTACTATTATCATTATAATATTTTTCTTACACTTCAACTTCTGCCCATCCACCTTCCTCTTAGCTGCCCTCCCCACACTGCCCTAAAATACCCTCTCTATTTTCTCCGACCAGACGTAATTTACTAAGGTCATTCAAAACTAATTTCCTTGCCATCAACAGATCGTACCTGGGTCCCACATGTACAGGTTGACACTACTGAAGTCCGAACTAATACCGACTCACAAAGTTAACAGTATTTAGCGTTTCAAACTCTCTCCCTCCCAAGACTGAGAAACCTTATTATAGGAAATAATATTATGTTAATGGTTAAGAGCTTTATCTCGATTAATACTGGGAAACAAGCTCCGTCAGATAGACTGGTGCACACTGTGTTGTGTGGCCAATCGCTCGGGGTGAATGTCGCACACTGGAGCTGAGTTTGACATCTCCGCTGAGTGGTCTCCATGTCACATAGCGACACTGCGCACTCACAGCCCGCATGTTGCTAAACTACTGTGTTCGATGACAACCGCTGAGCTCCTGTGCTCTCAAACACACAGTCAGCACATCAAGAACTTGTAACACTGTGATACTGGGGACAACAAGTCCGCCAACACCAGGGACCCTGCCCACGCTGGACCTCATCAAAACAATCACATCTGAAACCCTCTGGAGAGGGCTTTTACAGTGAATCAAAATGTACAGTTACAGGCACCGGAATCCAGCAAACCCACAGCTTGGGGTGAGATAATGTAGTAAGAATCAAACTTTAAAAGAGGAATATTACCTTAAATTCAAATTAAAATACAGTCCATGTTTTCTGGGGATGGTTGCTGACTGCCAGTGTGCGAGTGCCGGTGAAAGAGAAACAAGAGGCCAGAAACGTCTGACGTGTTTAGGCTGAAACCAGGAGCTCTGGCTGACGTGTGTCACCTTGCTGATCACAGAGACATTAACACTGTGAGCTGACGTCCAGCACAAGCCAGGGGGTGGAGAGCCTCATTAGCTCTACAATTAACAGGAAGAATTTTGTCCAAAGATTGTAGTTTGCCATTTCACTGGGGTGGGGGGTGGGGTGGGGGAAAACCTCCTTTCCTCTGGCATGGTTACATGGTTACACCGCCAGCGGGAAAGAGAAAGAGGCTCCTTATTCAAAGCACGAGATTCTCCCTGGATTTTACCCAGCTCTCTGCACGGCTTCCCTCTATTCTCACAGGTAACCTGGCCCTGACCGACTGTGACGAACAGGAAGCAGACGGACAGACCAGAGACCCTCGGCGGTGAAACACACACGTCAGCTGAGCTCAGTGGCATAGGGCTACCTGGTGAGTAACTGTTGCCACGTGGTTTTATTAAACAGCGTGGAGTGCCCCTTTAATATGTTAAAAACTGTATACATACAGTGTCAGTAAAATGTAACAAAGATCTCAGCAGTATTATTATGGATTATTTTGAGGACATGATCCATTTAACCCTATTCCATTGGATCACAAGTCAATTAAAAATAAGTTAAGATACAGACCTTGTACAGGAACTGCAATCAGTTACATTGGCCAAAGTGTTACAGCAAAAGATTGCTATCAATGCCAGGACCTGCCAAATGCTCTCTCATTCATTACTCTCAGCTCTGAGCACTTTCCCTCCCCGACATCATCCCCCCACACCCCCTCGTGTAAGGTCTGATAGTTTTTATAGTGCACAATAGTGAGCTCACAGGAGCGCAGTGTGCACCGCACTTTGTCACTTGCGGATCTGTGTGTAACACAGAAAGTGGTTCTGTCTGCTATTGTCTGACAAAACATTTGCTTCCCGACGTTAAACTAGATGTAAGTCATTGCACCTTTGGCATTTCTGTCCAAATAGACTTCGACATATGATGTCGGCACGTAGCCCTCCTCCTCCTCGCTCCTCCGCACTCGCGTCCAGCCGTCTCCTTTGTCCTCCTCTATCACATTCAGCGTCTCCCCCTCCTCCATCGCAATCGTTCCTTCATTGTGACCTGAATCACAGCAAATGATTGGTTTGGGGGCAGCCGGGTGTGTGACACACAGGAACCCATCGCCTCCCGCAGGATAGGAGTATGGGGAGAATCAAAGCAAGCATGAAACCATCCTCTCTGCATTCATACCATTCCCCGACAGATAGCAAGCCGTCTGCCTCCAGGCTGCTCCCTGGCACACAATTTCCTTAGCCAGAAAAGGGTGAATAGCTGAGCAACAACAACAAATTACATGTGTATTGCGACTTTCATGTCAGGAGGACATCCCAAGGCGCTGGACAGTCAGGGATCCACATCTGAGCTGGTGGTTGGGATCAGGAGGGGTGGAGGGCGGGGAGGGTAGGAGGGTGATCAAAGGCATGATCAAAGAGGAGGGTTTTGAGATGGATCTTGAAGGAGGCAAGGGAAGGGGAGAGGCAGAGGGACTGTGGGATGGAGTTCCAGAGGTTGGGAGGCTGAAGCCTCGCCCACCAATAGGAAACTTTCTCCCCTAGGTGAAGGGGTGATATTCTCCCTCCCACCCCCGATACTCTCTCGGGACCAGGGGAATTCTTACCTTCAAACGGGTAGACGGCTTTGCATGTTCCGATTGTTGGCAGAGGTTCCTCATCGTCAAACTCATCATCAAACTCGTTCTGAGCTGCGACTTTGACCGGTGGCTCCTGGTTCTGCTCTTCGGTGTAACTCCCATCAGGGCTGCTCAAAAAAGGAAGGTACGTGATAACTAGAGCAACAGAACCCACTGCTGGAGAGGACACCAGATGAAAGTAATCAAGCAGCACATCAGAAGTCAGATTTATCGGAAGCACTGAGGAACGAGCCCAACAGTTTACATACGTCATAGGGTTAGGGTTATTATACAAGCAAAGTTGCACCGTGCAGCCTGGGAACGTGCGTCAGGTTGTGGCAACTCCCAGCCGGAGTTGGCTCAGCCCCCTCACCCCCACCCCCAAACGGAACAAGACAGCCCGCAGCCTCCTGTCCTGGTCAGCAGACACTGTACCTCTCTCTGTCTTGTGCGCAGTTGTTGACGGCAGTGCTCTGTGTCTCGTACATCTCACTCTGTCGTCGCGGTTGCTCAGGCCTGGTGGGTAAACGGCCTTCTACCTCAGCGAGCCATGCCTGCAGCAAGAAAGACAAGAGCTCAGTTCAGCTAATATTGAAGTTGGATATTGATTTCTCTGAAGCGATAACAAATGCATTCTAAAACAAGGTCTGCTTAAACTGGAAAGTTTACATTGAGAGCGCACACACAGAAAAGTAGGTCACCTTTAGAAGACAAAATAAGATTCCTGCTGTAGTATTCGCAGTTGTCTTTATTCTTAATAAGCAAATAATAGAAGGTGTCACATTTGGGAGCTATCTAGTCTCAAGACTCAGAAGATTGTAGATTCAAGCCCTACGCTGGGACTTTGAACTCACAGTCTAACCTGACACTCCAGTGCTGTGCTGGGGAATGTTGGAGGTGCCATCCTTTGGATGAGACATTAAACGTCTGCTATTTCAGATGGATGTTAAAAGATATCGCGGCACTAGTTGAAAAGAGAAGGGAGTTTCTCCCAGTGTCCTGTCCAACAATCCCCAGATAAAAATTGGTTACTCCCTTCAAGGCTGTTTGTGGGACGCTGCTGTGCTCAAATTAGCTGCTGCGTTCATCGACAAAATACACAGTCACTGCACTTTACAATATATCCTGTGGAGCGCTCTGGGCTGTCTTCAAGACGTGATCAGGCGCTGAATCAAATGGAAGAACTATTAGTGCCAAACACTCAGACTGTATGTCAGTGGCAGCCGTCGCAGCTTCTGTCGCATTTCTACGCTATACATGTAGAAGTGTGACATTTGGTTCCCTCTAGTGGCAACTGTCAGTAGTACACGCCCATCATTGCAGAAGGGTCTCTCTCTCTCCTGCTGCGTTTTGCCCACAAAATAGAGTCAATTCACTCGACAGTGTATTCTGTGAAGCGCTTTGAGACGTCTCAAAGACGTGATAAACCACTATATCAAATGCAAGGATTATTATTATTAAAATACAGTTCAATTAAATAATAGTTAGACAATTTAAAACATAGGATTTCTATGATTCGCACGGGTTACGTTTCTGGAAGGGAAACACAAAAATATTGCTTATGTGGCTCGCGGACATTTCTCAAATCTAGCATCCGGCCCTCAGCAGCCAAAAGGTTGGCCACCCTGAGCTACAGGATCTGTAAAGATGTCCTTTTAGTTTTCAGTCACTAGGTGGCGGAACAATACAAAATAATATTCTGGCTTGATTCAGGGTAAAATCCGTTTCTCCTTTCAAGCAATCGGAAAGTTGACAGAAATAAGTGGAACCTGGTATTAACCCGGCACTTAGTGGCTAGAATGATCTCGTCCTCATCAAGTCTCCTTGATGAGCGCTCCAGGACGCTACCCCGCGTGAAGGGCGCTATATAAATGCAAGCTGTTGTTGAAATTGTTGTTCCTCCAGCCTCTCACTGTTTCTCTAATCTCCCATTATAATAACCTTGCATTTGTAATAATTCTTCTATTTGATACAGTGCCCCCATCACAACATCTCAAGGAGCTTCGCAGGATTTAGTGACTGGTTGTGTATTTGTAGGTGAATGATACAGCACCTTGCACATAAAATGAATGTCTATATAGAGAGGAAAGGGAGCTTTGAGCAGTGAGGAAATGGAGAAGACTTCAAAGGTGTTGACCAATGGTATATTCAGAGAAACTCAATACAAGGTTCGCTTATAAGACAGTTCAAATGCGCCACAGGCTTCCCACACTGAGGGCACGGCAAAGTACTGCGTGCAGTTCTCGTCGTTACACTACAGGAAGCTACTGGGACATTGGATGGATTTACAAGAGATACAGCGATCAGGAAAGATTTGACAGGTCAGAGTTTTTCGCTCGAGATGAAAAGATTGAGAGGGGACCTGAACGAGTGTTGAAGATTACGCAAGGATTCGATAAGCTGGATGTTAATAGGCTGTTTCCAACTTGTTGGCGAGTCCAAAACAAAGGTATAAACACAAGATAGTCAGTAACAGATCTAAAAGAGAGTTGACAAGGAACTTCTTCATGTGAAGGGTTGTTAGAATGTGGAACTCACTGCCGAAAGCTGTTATTGTAGCAAAAAGAGCCAACAACAAATAACATTTATATAGCACCTTAACAGGAAACTTGATGCTTACTTGAGGGAGAAGGGAATAGAGGGATAGAGGGGATGAGGAGGGTTGAGGGGCCCATGTGATGTACAGGGTGTCCAAAAAGTGGTGATATCTATCCTATTATCTAAAAAAAATCATTTCTTTAAGACATATTAGACATTGTAATGGGATAACAAGGTTTTGATCACCCTAAACAAACATGAGTTGGGCTGTTCTCGTGCCATATAATTCTGTCGATCACGGCTGAGGAGGCTGACATTGATTTGTCTCTGGGGACGAACTGCTCCTCACTGGTACTATTTTCGGGAGAAAGTGTTTCTAACCTGGGCAGAAAGTTGCTCTGAGAATGAAGACTCTCTCGGTTGATGGTCTCAGTACCATTCACAATGTGTAGCTGCAGCCATGTAATCATTGAATCACTGAGGGCTACTCAACAATTTAGATAACATGCAACAAACACTGGGATTGCTGCCAGCCTGGGGGAGGATAGAATGAGTTTGTGCTGAACTCTGACGCACGACTTCACTTAATGCCTTGATACCAAAAGGCCCTTATCAACCTGAAATGCTACAAATTCTCTTATCCCATTGTCAACTTGGCAGGAAAAGCACAAAACAAAGAGAACTGTAAGGGGTTGCCAAACAGCGAGAGACAGAATAAACGGAGACTATAAATATCCTTATACCAGCCTGGGCAGCGATGTGAGAAGCTGTCCTGTATGGAGGGCGCTTTATAAGTGCAAGTTGTTGTTGTACTGTGGCTGTCTGTCACAGGTCTGGCACAAATCTGCCTCGGAGCTACTTTGGAGCTACTTTGGAGAAATGAAATTTACAAAGGTGCTTCTCACCCCCGTTAATAAAGGTTACCTCAAATTTCTGACTCTCCTGTCGTAGTTTTTCAATGTTTTGCCCGATTTCGGCCAGTCTGGGATCCACACTGCTCGGATCCCCCATCTGAGGATTCTTTATGTAGACGTCTTTCATTTTCGTTAAAGCGTCTCTGAGAATATCAAACAGACGACAATGAGGAAATACTGTGCCAATTCTAACTGAGTTTGAAGTGAACAGGTGAAATAAATCTTTACATATTAATATGTGAAAATACAGTAGAAGCTGATTATCCGCATATTATTTACAACCATTACAAACAGTTGGGATAACAGGACCCCACACAAAACACTAACTGGCTGCAGGCCAAACTAAAAAAAACTGCAGGAGTTAAATTACACCGTCAGTGTAGCTGCTCACATTGAGCTGAGCACCTTCCCTACGGCTTACCTCCCTTGCTCCCCCAGTGAGGCCTCTCATCGGAGGCCCATACACATAAACAGACATTCTGATAAATGGCGTCCTGCTGTAACACTGGAATTGAGCAGTTGAAGAACTTAACACCACTCTGCTCTCTCCTGTGTGACCTTCACTAAAATCCGGCAACATCCTCATTAGACAGAATAAACTCCTTCCTGCCCCAGCATTCCATTGTGCTTCCCAGTCTGTCGCTGCATTGGACCCGACAGATTTGGGATCAATGACCGTTTCACTCGATGCTTTTAACATTTTCTAACAAAGACGGGAATGCACTGATGTAAGAGATTTGGAACCTGTTGCAGTACTTGAACTGCTTTTCCAGCACAAACACACAGACCTGGGTTTGGTAACGTCCCACTGCAGTGAGTGAATGCTGTTCAGACAGACAGACAATCATTCAACTAGCACCACTGATGAGAATTGTGAGAGATTCAGTCCCAGTAACACAGAGGTTTGTCAATGTGGCATATGATTGATTTATCACATGAGGCTAAACGGGTCTCAATTATTCTCTTTAGAGCTGGTGGGGGATAGGTTAGCAAAGCTTTCAGAATTCTGAATGCTTTTGTTGGGGTTAATTAAACATTTCCAATGATCAACACGTCAGTAACAATAGGGCACGAATTGAGGATTATTCCAATAAGAAAAAAGGCCAAGTATTTTTTAATATAAATCAGATCACATCCAAGGAAACCTGCAATCAGAGGAGAGAATTGAGTTTGCTGTTGGGAAGGAAGCTGACCTCTGATCGGACTCTTTCTGGATTTCCTTGTTCATCTCATCAATTTTTTGCTGCAGTTTCTTCCTGCGCTGCTCTGGTGGGAGATTGCTGAAGTCTTCTGGTCCAGAGCCCTGTCCAAGTCAAACAGACAAGATCAGTATCCTGGGTCACTGTACATTTACTTCCTTCTTTGGGTTGGGGGTTTGATGCTGTATTAAATAGTTATTTGAACAACCTTAATTAACCCTTTGCAGCCCAGGCATTTGATTTCATCGACTCGAGAGTTGAACCCAGGTGGCTCTCGGCACAAGTCTGATTTGCTGACCAGTTAAATTAGATGTTTATTGATAAATGCTTTGAATTTCACCCGCTGTATCTTTAGACGATCCATCAAAGGCTGAAAATTTAGACGTTGCTACAATAATTCTCGTCTCAGAGCATGTGTGCAGAGAATTGCCTCACAAATAGCTCAATGTGGCTGAAGTATCATAAGTCTTCAGTGAGCTTTTCAGTCAAGTCTTTTCACCACAACTCACCGACTGTGAATCAACCCACTTTAACAACCAAGCCTTTGTCGTTGATGAGAACAAATAGTATTGGTCACACACGAGCAAAACTGAAACATGAGGGTGTCGGATGGGCAATCAGTGCGGAAGCTCCACAGGCAGTGACCTGCCCCTATCCCTTCTCACCCGCACCCCGACTCCACACAGCTGTTGCCTGGTCAACAAAGAGTTAAATAGCTTTCCCATTATGAAGTCGTTCTGACATGTATAGTTTATTAGGAATGTACTGAAGAACAGAAGATTGTTTCAGAATGAAACAGGCAGTTAGTTAGGTTTTACTAATGATGTGAGACAAGCACAACCTATAGAAAAGAAGCCAAGTCAATTCTAAGCACTCTAAACTATTAACAGGGGGAATTAATCAGAATGTTGGCATTACTGACACATGCACTATTGTCAGATTAGATACTCTATACTTCAGTGATGCACGCCCATCCCGTTATTATTTAACCCCTGTGGTCCCGGTTTGCGATGCAGCCCTTTGTACCACACAAATATGTTTCCTTTCACTCAGCAGGAGGTGGCATTCTGTAAAACAATGCAGATCTTCTGACAGGAATGAAAAAGACTTCATTTTCATGAGATCTTGAGAATCATATGGGCAGCTCTGTCTCCACTATTCCTCCTGCAGGAGATGGGGCCCTGAGCTGTCAGTAATCTCCGCACAATGACTAGAAGGAAGAGACCGTAGAGATTCTGCATCATTCAGCAAAGTTGCAACTCGTCTTATTGCTACTCTCAGCCTTTGGGACGGAAGGCGAGGAGTTAAATACCATTGGAGATCAGCAGCCTCTTGCACCTGATCTGTTGCTTAAAGCTGGGTGTGAGCAACCAAAGATATAGCAGAAGGGAGGAGGAAGAGACAGAGGCTCTTTCAGAGCAGCTTTCACTTGAGCAGGTACAGGGACAGTGGGTCTGATTACAACAAACAAAAGCATTACACTGTCCAGTTTCAAAATGCTATTAAAATTCCCACGTTTGCTAACTAAGATTTCCCCAACGAACACCCAATTCAAAATTACAGGTGGATTGATTTTACGGGGTTTAAACAGATTTTAAAAGCTTAATCTACATAAAAGGATTTCAGATTATTCTTTCAGAACATTTGATATGACTTTTCCAGTTTTCAATTCTGTAGGGAATGGTAAAGGACCATTAACACAGTTAAGGGCAGGATGCTGAAACGTAACATGGAACCCAGGACACAAAGCCAGCATTCACATGGTAACTGGAAGTGTTAAGTGCATTAGAAGAAGAGGCAAAAAAAACAAGACAAACACTGGTCATTTGTTTCCACTGAAATCCAGATAAACAAAGTGCTGTATAAAAGAGATCCAGCTTAATGTTAACCTCAGATTGTGTTTAAATCCATTCTGAATTCACTATGTTTACCAAACGCATTATTTTCTGATGAAGTGCCTTTGTTTGTGCACGAGGCAGGTTAAGGATTAGTTTGGAGACCAGACAGTCAGACCCAGGCATATGGGAAGCTGTTTGTGGTCTATCTTGGGAAAGATGTGGCAGAAATATTGCAGCGTGGTAATGTGCAGCATTAACCTGCAGTTTCTTGTTTGACCTCAGAGAGGTGCCTGTCGGAAGCAAGTCAACAAACTCCAACATCCAGCAGTTCTCTGGGGCAGTGCAGAGGCGTTTCCAAGAACAATCTGCAGCACCCAAGAGAAGCAGGTCGGTCGGACATCAGTTACTCCAGCAGAGAAAAACAACATAATTGAGAAAGGTTTGAGAGTTTCTGTAAAATCTTCTCTTCCCCCAAAGGAGTGTCAGTCACTGAAAGCAGCCTTTACATTTGTCAGATGAAGGGCTACTCAATATCCCATAGCATTCGGAGATGAGCTGTGATATATAACCAAAACCGGGCACCACTATTCCACTTTAGTAACAGTCTACAACAGAAATTAGACGATTAATGCAACCTACAGTAATGAGCAGCTTAGTGACCATTAGTCTAATTTGACTAACAATATTAATGCAGTTTGGATATGTTATTTTAAATCTTTAAAGCTATTAGAATATCCATTCTTTAATCTACAAACAAGCTAATTAACTGGGCAAAACATTCCGTGGGGGAAACCTATACAGGGCTCTAAAATATTGACAGTTATTTGTGCTAGAAATCTTTTATTTCATTTCAGCCTTCATAAAACAGATCCAGTGTACTGATGTAAGGGGAATTATATAGATCTAGCAGGCATAATCAATTGAGCAATTTTATTGCAACTTTCAATATTGACCTTAACCCTCAGGAGTGAGCAGTTTTTCAAATCAGCCGATTTACTGCTTCACCTACACTATGTGTCAGGACATAAGATTTCCAAACTCCGAGTGATTGTAGTTGATCCACTTGATTAATGACTTGAGGGAACTTTTTGTAGGTGCCCTGCCTGTCCAGTAAGCTGGTGAGCACAGTGTCAGGCTATTGTGTAACTTCCCTATGGATGCCAGATGGTTGGGGGTGCTAAGCAACTCCCTGTCTGCCCTCTAAGCTGAGGAGAACCCCAAAGGAAAGAGAACACAACTGCCCACAGCATGTGGTAAGAGTGGGAATTCACAGCCTCTGAGGCACTGAACGAAGCATAAAAGAAGGAAGAATCACTTTTCTTCTATTGTAGCAATGTTAATACAAACTTTCAAGGTCTAAATCTGCATCTTTCCTTCATTATCCAGCTGGGTTTGTGAAGTCAGCTAATAGCACAGCCAAGAGAAGTGACTCATAACATCCCCCAAATGTGCCCCCAACATCCCAATGACCTTCCTCCACAAGACTGCACTGATTCGAGCTGCAATTGCGGCTTCGTATTACGCTTTTCCCTGCTCTCAGCTCAGACCGAGCTGGAGGAGACAGTCAGATGGGAATTGGATGCCTGCAAGTTAGTAAATTGGGATCATGTGAATCACAATGTTTTAAACGTGGGACAAATGGAGCTCCCTAAGCAATAAGTGGAAACCTGGCAAATTACCAAGGTTTCATTACTGACATCACTTTCTGACAACTCTTCAAAGATCCCAGGAGTTTGCACTGTTGATTGTAATGAAGCATTACAGAAACATTAAATGTCAAAATTACAAGTGGTGCTTTTTGATCTAGGAAATCCAAACCAGGATTATATGGTGTGATATAGTACTGTACTACAGTACTGGCATCTTGATGGATCCTAAATCAATCAAATTCTTAATTTCTTCTCTGTGACATCTCAGAAATGGGCAGAGATTCAGTTCTGGGGAGTTTATATGAAAGGGAAGAGGTGGACATACTTAAAACCATAGTTTTGTTCAATATTCAAAGGACTTCTTAAATAGGGGGGATTGGGGGGGAGGGGTGATGTGTTAAACAATTTCCTATCAACAGCTGAAGGAGTTGAGCCTTGATACATGAAGCACAGCACCTTACTGTCTGAAATGTAGTTACAGAGTGTGGGATTTGATGCTACGGGGGATTTTAGAGCCCTGTTACATGGGGAAGTCTCAAAGCTGCAGCATCCCTTTGAGCCAAAGGAAAAACTTTAGTTAGGCCTTTGGTCTCAGTCAAAAATAAAGCAGCTTTCAATCAAACAGCTGACTTTTTTGGTGAAGGGAAATTTATCTAGTTAGCTCAAGAGAGAAAAATGTCCACAAGTGTCACAGCAGAGACAAGCAAATCCAAACTACAGCTGTAGAGTATAAAATGTGGTAAAGTAATCTCTAACAGACAAACAGATCAAACTTTCCCGATGTTCACAAAGTGACCACTGGAATTCTGCTCTGGAGAGAAAGTCACACATTTGCCTGGTTTGATCTGCCCTTTCCTGCAGGCTCACAATATGTGGGAGAATCATTTCACAGACTTCCAAGCAGTGTTGTGGTGTTACAAATACCATACAATAAAAACTCATTCATTGAAAGGTTTTGGTAGTGATCAACAGAGTATCACAGCAATAAAGCCCATATTCAGAGAAGAACAGTGGGCACACACAGCAAACATGGTTTCATTTGTTCTCGAGAACAAAAAGATTGATACTTGAAGCTTCTATGCAATGGCAAGGGTAAGACTGGGTAAAACTTCAGAACCCAGCTTCATCAAAAATGTCTCCAGAAATATTGAGAAAGGTTTGGAAAGTGACAGCTCTAGAAATGAAAGGTTGATTTTAAACTGTAAAACATTACAAGTTTTATGAGCTGCATTGACTAGTTCGCGACTACGAAAGTGATTTACTTGACAGCACAACCGAAAGTTGTGCAGGGAAGGGAAGGCACGCAGCTCAGCTGAGAATCAATAGCGATTATTGATTATTTTTGCCAGAATATAAAACGTTTGCCATTTTGTATCTCCTTGTAGACGTGAAATAATCAGTGATGGACTAAAAGTCACCTTAGCTCGAAGGTGGCCAGCCATTAGGCCCAGTAATAATATAATAATCCTTGCATTTGATACAGCGCCTTATCACATCATCGAGACGTCTCAAAGAGCTTCACAGGAGTAAATTGTAAAGTGCAGTGACTATGTATTTTGTGGGCGAAATGCAACAGCGAATTTGCACATAGCATTATCCGACAAACAGCCATGGAGTAAGTGTCCAATTTTATCTGGGAGAGAGAAACTCCTTCCTTTTTTCAGAAAAGTTATGCTGCTGTCACTTCCTCCATTGAAGCAACAACTCTAATCCCAATTCCCTGCTCAATCCCCATTCTTGTTATATTCTTCCTCTTCCAACATTTTATCCAATTTATTTTCAAGTTATTGTCTTGGCCTACTCAATAGGCAAAGCATTCCTTTGTCTAATAACCTTCTGCATGAAAAAATACTAAACATCCCCTTAAACCATCAAGTGAGTTAGAAAAAAAATAGCATTAGAGATTTTATGCCCCAAGTAGCAGGAAGAAACACTAAATAATTCCTATAGATGGAAAGCAGTTGAGGTCCCATGCATAGACCCCTGATTTGGACACTACTCCTAGTATCTAGTGGGGCAAATGCACAGCACAAAAATGTCCTGTGTGTCCAAACAGTTGGAGACACAAGGAAATGTCAAATGAGGCGGTGCTTTGCTAAGGGTAAAAGACAAATATGGGAGAGGTACAGAGGGCTTGTCCATGTGCAGTGCTATGTCTAATTTGAGAATCCCTGTGGACAAAATTAATCTGATATTTGAAATTACTCGATCACCAATTCGGTTGGGTTTTGAGGGTTGTAAACTCAGCTTTACTGGTTACAGGAAAAGGATGCTGCATCTTCAATTCTGAGACCAAATGTTATCAATTAAAGTGTGATTAAAACAAAGATACCTCAATCAGATTCCAGACCTGTGTATTCAAAGTTTTCTGACAGAAAAATTGGACAAAAAACAACAAAAGATTGTTCACAATTAATGTCATAAGTGTTAATTAAATAACCAGGTTGTCAAAACATATTAGACGTAGAACAGACACAAGTCATCACATTGCTTACCAGTTTGAGAGAAAGCTTCATGTGAAATTGGAGGAAAGGAGGAAAGAGAAAAAACAAGTGACAAGTCAATAGAAAATGACTGCTCATTTATAAACACTTAACAACAATAACTGTGTGGGTATGAACATGGCAAATGTACACAGCAAAACCTGGGAGGAGGTTCATAAGGAAGCCATTTTGAATTGCTTCATAGAAATTTTTCTAAAATACAGGATTTACTACCAAACATCCAAGGCAAGTTTCACCAGTGCAACATGTGAACATGAGGACCCATGGAATGAGAAAAAGACATTTGGACCATCAGTGTCCTTCTTACCTCAGAATATGTACAATCCATTCTAACATGGACTCTACCCAACACATTGAATCTCTGGTGGAAAGGCTCTGCAAAGATTATCCCTTAAGTCCCTCTGCCCACTCCATATGTTGGATCATGCAAAATATTTATCCTTGACATCTCATTTCAACACTTCCTGAATTTATGATCCTAAATCATAATCCAAACCAGGTCTTTATGTAATGGTTGTTATTAACCCCTTTACCTATGTGGACAAAGGAACAATGGTGCTGATAAAGACATTACAATACACCAAATCCCACTATAAGTCTGTTTTGATAGCAAAATAATTGCAATACTGTATTCCCCAACCTGTGTGTGTCTGTTTCTCAATAACATCTTTCTCTATTCTATCACAACCACTAATCTTCACTCCTCTTCATGTTCCTCATTTGTTCTTTCCAGACTCCAAACACTTGAAATGCTCCTCTCTACATCATTACCACCACAGTGTCACCTTCTCTACAATTCATTCTTACAGGTCATTGAGCTCTTTATCTACCTAATCTTTCCTTCCACCTTACGTCAGTTTGGGGTGCTCTGACATACAGTTCTTGATCCTTCACCTAAAGCTCTCAATAAAACAGAGGGTATTCCACCAGCCAACACCGTCTCTGGTGATCAGAGAACTTGACCTGATATCACAGTATCCACTTTGTGATCTCATAAAACACACTAACTGTCTCAGAGTTTCAAACACTCTAAAGAACATCTAATCTGGATGCCAATCAGCCACACTTGAAGCTCGGCAATGAATATCAAAGTGAAATGGAACAATCACTTCATTTGCTTATTATTTATTCTATATCCTCACTAAACTAAGGTTTTATACAGAGGCAGTTCAAATGTTGGGTAGGAGATGGAATGGGACGTCTTGGGAATGGACTGGAGAGTATCTGGACATTCTCCCACTCTTTCCTTTCTACATGTCGATATGCGTACAGTTTCAGTACCTAGGAGTTGGAGGTATTTTTTGAGGGGAAATCGTGATTTGTGGTTCAAGCAATGGAGAAGTGTCAGCTATGATTACTGACTGATTTAATGGGGAGAGAGTAGGGAATTGTGTGGATAGACATAATTTAGAGGCTGCTTATCTCATTAACCATATAAATTTACAACATAGAAGAAAGTTATTTGGCCTTTCGCGTCTGTTTGAAAGAGCAATCCATTCAGTCTTGTTAACCTGCCTCCCCTGCTAATAATTCCTCTTCAGACATCCATGTAGTTCCTCCTTGAAACCTAACATGGATTGTGCCTCAACCTCTGCTACCAGCAGTTCCACATCCCAGTTATTCTACTAATTGCCCTGACAAAATGGTAAATCCTATTCTAAACCAGTAACACAAAGCTTGCCAATATCAATGATCATCACCAATGTCTATCTGTTTGTTCCATGATATGAAACCTCTGAACTACCTGGCTAACAACTAGAGAGATTTCTAGATAGGGGCAGCCTGGGAACCCCGAATCTCAAACCTATTTGAGGGTTTCATCTTTACAGTAATGTGCTCAATGTTCTGAATTACTGAGTTGCTGTGAAGGAGAGCAGAGATTGTTTTGTTTTTTCACTGGTTGCTGACATTTTCAGAAGAGTTTTCCTTTTTAAAATAATTTTCAGCACAGAATAAAAGTAAGGCAAATAAACAAATAATCAATAATTCAACGGTAGCCAGAAAAAAAATTCCAGTCAGATTGCAATCAACTGCCATCTCGTAACACTACAGGATTTTAGAATGAAGGAACAACCTCAGTTTATGGGATAGACTGCTACCTGGTGCAGTAAATAGGGACTCAGCTGAAACATTTAACAGGGAATTAGATAGATTTCCAATACAGAAAGAGATAACGGATGTGTTGGGCAGAAGAATGTCTGATTAGATTCTGAAAGAAGAAATGGATGGGCTGAATGGCCTTGACTTTCCCAATGTCCTTACGTTCACACCTTCTGATGACTGCAGTGCTTAACTCAAGTCACTGATTAAAACCAACACATTACAACTACTGCATAGACAAAATATAATCTTTCTCTCACAGGAATATGGTGAATTTCAAAAACAATATCTGTTCAGTTTAAAGTGTATTAACATGATACTAAATGACCACCTTATGAACCTTTACCCACAATGAAGATAAAACAAGCTTTTCCAACAGACAGACATAAACTACCTTGCACACACAAACATGAAAGCTTCTCGTTTACTGTGCTCACTATCTCAAGCCCTACAAAATAACTAGGTGGTCTTTTAAAATCAAGCTTCAACTGGATCAATAATTCTAGATTTAAAACTAGTTTTAAAAAATGTGATTTTAAAACAATGCTTTAAAAGTGCTTAAAATGAAAGATATAATTTTATTGATTACAAAAAACACTACAATCTGAACATGGAAATTGAAATACTGCTGTTCTTTAATTGGATGTTATATCACTGGTCAATGTGAAATCAGAACAAGTAAATACCACAATTTTCAAATGGACAACAACATTTTTTATGAACATGGATATTTTAAAGAAAACTCAGATAATTAACAACAGGATCATGTTGGAATAGATATTAAAAGCTAAATTCAAACTATTAACAAAATTAAACAGCAAATTTGGAAATCAAACCAGGAATATTCTAGTTACGAATAATATAAATGTTACATTGCTGTGTGCACATTTGCTTTGATAGCTTTAAAAAATTGAATGCAAAGCAAATGCAAATATATATCAAATGCAAGGATTATTATTATTTATTCTTAATTCATTCCATTACTATCCTAAGCTTTACAAAAAAAAACATTTTTTTAATTATGGTTTAGGGCTCAAATACTATATGGTTTATGATACATATGATGAGCAATTTAAAATGGCCAAGTGCACAGAGAAGAGTTAGTTACTTGTTCTTCTAAGTTTGCCAAGCAAATTCTTGCTAAGGACTAGTCTAGGCTTTAATTCCTTCTGAAAGTCAGTGTTACCAATGTCCCAGCAATGAATTCCACATCAGCATGCCTTCTTTACTGTTAACAGAAACATCTGATGGGTCGGCAGTATTATTTTCAAAGCTTTTCACATTCCAACAGTCTATTGTGCAGACAGGTAACCTGGGTCTTGGCCTTTGCAAATGCTGTTCCGACTCTAAGGTCTTAAACATGCAAAGGCAGCTCAGGTTGCCTTATCCGTTCATTTCCCTTCTCTTTGGGTACACGCTATGTGTGGCTTTATCTGACCTCGATGGCTCAAATCAGGGAGTTAGATATTAATCCTGTGGGTCATTCACCGGTGTTACGCGATCCCAGATTTCATTTCACATGATCTCACCACACACTACCTCTGCAACCTCCTCACATCCTACCAACCCACCCGCTGTCTTCACTCTTCACTCAGTGGTCACCAGCCTGTTTCACCCCACTTGACCCTGTCTGTCCAATACCAGCAGACAGGCTTTTATCCTATCTGTCCCAACTCTCTGGAAACCTATCTGTGCAATGCTATCCATCTCTCGGGTCAGTTACAGCGCAGCTTAGAGGCAAAGTCTCGAAAGCCACTTCCACCCCAGCTCTGGTAGTGAGCCATTATTAACACCTTGGGATGTCTTCCCGACATGAAAGACGCTGTGTAAGTGTAGATTTATATTTGAGTGTTCTGCAGGGTACACTTAGATTAGAATTATATTCTTTTAGTAATAATTTTTCTAACATTTGAAACTTTTTAAAATGCAACAAGTTACTGTACAAGTTTGTACAATGTATTGTTCCCCAGAGATCCCTCACTCATTCTGTCCCCAACTTCATAGACCTGGTTTCTGACTTCTCCCCTCTGGGGAAGCAGTGAATGTTTGCCCCTATACCAGCTCAGTTCCACACAGAGATATAACATGTAATTGATGGGGAGTCACACAGCTGGATCTGTCTGACCACATTCTGTCCTGTAGGGTGTTCAAACACCACAGCTTTACAATTATATCACAAATATTGATTTCAAACTGGAATCTTCCCCATAAAAGGCACGCTAATGGGACCATAACATGGCAACACTGAGCACACATTGATTCAGGTTAGGCTCTTGAATAATCCTAATTAATGACCTTATAAACGAACAATGAAAGAAAAACATCACAGCCGATGCTTTACTGGACTAAGCCTGAATATGGCATACTACAGCTTTGAGCAGCTAGTCTACAGGAAATTATGATGGGATCTGGAGGCACAAGATGCAATAACACATAGGAATGAAGCAGCATGTGTTATTGGGAATTCAGTCAGTAACCCCACTTACACAGATTAGTTATGTTGCAGTAACTCGTTCACACGAAACGCGATTTAAAACTTCAAATAAAACTTTTTGGTACATCAAATTCTTCTCAAATTTCAGGGACTGTTAATTGGGCGCTTTTATTCAGTGTAGTTTATTCCATTACTTTCTGACTCTCTTTCTGTAACATTTTTCTATTCACCACTTTGTGATGCGCTCAGAGAGGAAAGCAGTCTCTGCACTGAATAAATGGCATATTGTCCCTGTACAATGGTACTATCTGCGTGGACAGATGAGTGTCTGGTATCAATAGGCCTGAACAGCAAGTTCCTATTTATTGGTTCTGCTCTGTCGCCTTATCGTCTCAGTGTTACTGCTGAACCATGTAGTGTTGAATTTCTAGATCCAACAAGATAACTGAGCAGCAGCCTGGTCAGTCAGACAAGACTCCAGGAATGGCTGCACATCTCTTCAGTTGGCATTCCCTGTGTTGGCTGTTCCCTCACCTGTGCTGCATCCCCTCTTGATAGTTACTGGCAGAGATAGGCTGTCCAACATTGTCAAAGGTCTTCTTGGGAACAGAATATGCAGCATAATAGGATCATTTAACCTCAGCAAAATACAAGTCCCCTCTCCATACATAACTTCTACTTCCCTTAATCTTTCATGCCATCTTCCCGTCATTACAAAGGTGGAATTCCTTCATTGCTGCTGGGTCCCATTCACATCTGGTAAGATTAACCCAATGTGAGACAGACCTAATATGGGCAGTGGCCCTCTCCAGCATAAGTTAATATGCTAAATAAAATGTCTTCTTGAGAACATGGATAATAGTTGCTGCAATTTAGATTTCATGCTACATTTTTGAGCAATTTACAATTGATTTTAAAACAGACAAATTTTTAATATTAAATGTGTCCTAGAAAGATGATTTCCGCTCTAAATGCAATGCTTCTTTCATGACCATATGTTTGATCCAGGTCATATAGGATTTTTAAAAAATGAAGAAAATAATTGATTAAATATATTTTTGTAACAACAGGGAAATCCAAGATGAAGGACAAATTCATATCAAAAAACGAAATCAGAGACTGAACTGCATTTAATTCCTGAGAAACGATCAAATCCTTAATAATACGGACATCCAGGATTGATACTGAGCAGAAATTAAAATGTGCTTTGCTATAAACCCAAATAAATTACTTTGAATAAAAGTAGTTACATGATAGGTCAGACTGTGATGTGCTCCTGGCATTGTAGCTCCAGATTAATGAATTTTAAAGATAAAGGAAGAGACTGAAATAGCAGTACTGTGCCTGTATGTGATTACATTTAACATTTGCTGTCATTTACATAGAATTACACAGAAACAGCCCTTTCAGCCCAAATAATCCACGTCAGTATTTACACTCCACACAAGCCACCCCCTTTCCTATACTCCTTATTTCCTTGTTCCTCACGCGTGCACATTTGGTGTGAATGAGTCATTGTTGATCTTCTGATGGGAAGTGTACAAGTATCTGACACATGCAGGGAAGGTTAAAGTTCTAAGGAAAGAGAAGCAAACTGTGCAAAAAATGTTTTCACTATTAGAATGATTGTTTCTCATAAATTGTCCTGTCAAAGGCTGGAAAGCCACCACAATCCATGTGCTATGTGGTTGGTGGTGGTTTCAAGCGCTCTAAGATGCTACCCTGTATGAGGGGCGCTATATAAGTGCAAATATATATAAATATAAATTCCTGTACTGTAACTACTGTACTTTTGACATTTCTAATCGACTGTGGAACAATATAAAGGCAAGTTTAATTGCTTGTGTAAGTGGGGCTAGTCACTGTGGGGTGGTTGTATGGCTGTCACCATACAAAGACTTACAACAAACTCCCTCGCCTCATATGCATAAGTAGGTTTCCCTAATGTCCTCTTCATCAGTTCTTTGTGAAAATAGAAAGACTGAGTCTGGTGTGTGCGTTTGTGGGAAAGAACACATCTTTGTTAACAGCCAGCAACTCCAAACTAGCTCTACCTACCATTCTATATAGAGTTAGTAATTAGGGTAGTCCTTAAACCAAGCATTTCCTCAATCAAGGATAGTGTTTGAAAGCTTTTGTTCATGTCACATTTAGAGAGACAGTCATTCCCTGAGTTTGATGATTAAATAGAAGTAAAGCCAAATGGAATATTACTGGATTTCAAAATCAATACATTTGTCTTGTCTTCCTCTTTTCCCTCTGCCAGTGGTGAAATTGAAATCTGGAACTGTGTGTGTGAGTTCTTAACCTTATTATTGAGCAAAAGGACACAATAGAGACTTTAGCATTTCCAGGTGGTCAGATTGAAGGGAAGCCAATTACTCATTTTTAGTAAGATTGAAACTAAAGGTAAGGAATTAGCAGTAAACAGAGAAATATCGAGATAGGGATATGGCACAAACTCTCATCTCATTCACTGTGTCCCTTGAGGTTCCACACCTACGATTCAAGTATAGAAGAGTTGCATATAAAAGTTTGGAGCATTTTGCAATAAATGAATCGATGTTACTGGGACACTGGGATCTTACTTGAAGCCACTTCCAGTGTGTGAAGAACAATTATCACGTTGTTTCTCGATTGGTAGAGATACATTCACTGAATAAAGGTTAATGGCAATTTAGAAATCAGAAAGTTAGGCGGCCTACAATAAAGGAATCTGACAACGTACATGGGGTGCAGTCTGGCCAATTGGCAAACACAAATAGGCTGTTCCAGGAAAGAAAACAGACACAACGGCACACTGCATCCATGGTTATCTGTAGCACACAGGGTGACCCTGTTTATACTGCAGTGATTTGGGGTCCATAAACTCAGATCCTGCATTATAAGGAAGTGCTCAAAAAATGGTTGGTCAGTGATTCTGGGGTCATCAGATTTCTGCTGACATCTGTTCCTGGGTGTTGCACGTAGGTGCAGGAAGTGCTGCTGACGTCATTAACTTCTTGGGGGACTTCAGAGGTATTCCTGTGCATGGCAAACTAGTGCCAGAAGTTTTCCACACCTTTGAGAGCAGCATGGGTGCACGGTAAACCCACTATAAATAAATTAGGCGAGTAGTAATTAACAGGGCTACCCTGTATCTAACCTATGTCTACAATCTCTGCGGGGTTTGATGCCGAGCTCTTACACAGGTTCATCATCTTCAATACTCCTTTTCTAGATGCATTCGGCCACAAAGGAGATGGGCAATTTTGACTCAATTGTACACAATATTTTATTAGAATTACAACATGAAGAGGTTGAAACCTGGATACACTAAAAGTCCTTGGGATGGAATTTAGATGATCTCAATCCAGTTCAGGTTTGAATTGTACAATAGGTTTGAATTTGACGTAGGCCTGAGGTAGTGTAGTGCTGGAGTCAGGTGTATATTCATTTACCTGGCTGGATAAGAACTCTCTTGCTAACACGACTACATTGGTTCTGTTGCTAGCCAAAACATTTTTTTTCATGTGGATTTTTCCACATAAAAGTTCATTTGAATTTACAAACCCCTTGATTGAGGAAATATTTTATAACCTTTATTCAATTATATATTGCATTCTTGCCATTAGATATTGTAGCTATTACAACATCTGTAATGGCCTGATTGACCATATCATCTACCAGTTTCTTTCTTTGAACTACAAATTACATTTACTAGCGAATGCTGTGTCAAATAAAATAAGGAAAGAAGTAAAACAGAAATCAAAATAAAATATGCTCTTTAAAGCTTTTCAAACTTTAAACAAAATTTCAGATCTTGACCTGTGTAGAGATATACCAGGCACATAACGTACATTTTAAACTTAACATCAGAAAGGTAGCTTAGGACATAATGACTTGAAAACAAATATTTCTTTTAAAAACTGTGTGCTGCACGAACGAAAGAGATCACAGAAATCCGCACAGTGTGCTTGAAGATACACTTGCATCATTATTAATAATAATCTTTGTATTTAATATTGCACCTTAGCACATCGTTGAAATGTGTCAAACTGCTTCACAGGATTTACTGTAAAGGGTAGTGACTGTGAATTGTTGGCGAACCATTAATTATGGGAGCGAGTGCTACATAAAGTCTGGTAGTTGCAACACATCTAATTTTTTCAGCACTGTGATGACGAGCTAAAAATTCCTCTTGCCCTTCACATGCTAGATTTGCCATGTTCCTTTGCTCACATTTGCAGTGAGGCTGCAAAAGGCAGAACCGAAAAAAGGTGTGAAACATTGAGGTGAAACTGAGTGAGATTAACCTGGCAATGACAAACATCAAGCCTGTACACGTGCCACGAATGCTCAGGCTTTATGAATTTGTATTCTTTGGATAAATTCTGCTGATAATTGCAATACGTGTCCTGCAGAGTATTGGTTAGAGCACTCGTCTCGCAAGCGAAAGGACCTGGGTTCGATTCCCAGGCAGGACGAAACTTTAGGCAAGTTTTCTTATTCCACATGCCTCTGTTTACCTAGCATAAGTAGGAACTCAGTTGTTCGTTGATTGGCAGATAGCTTTTCCGGGGGTAATAATCCCTTCAAATTTTTTTTTCAAAATTACTAAAAATTTTGTCACTGAATCCATGACTGTTTGTGGGTCACTGCTGTGCACAATTGGCTGCCGCGTTTCGCCCACAAAATATACAGTCAATTCACTTTAGAGTATATTCTGTGAAGCGCTTTGAGATGTCTCGAAGACGTGATAAGGCGCTATATCAAATGCAAGGATTATTATAAGTGACTGAATTCAACCATCAGCATAATATAAACAATTAGGAACTAAAGATAAAATTTCCCTGCAATTCCTCAATTGGAATGCTTTAATAAATTCTCAGCAGAGTGATTAAAAAGTAAGAAATTAGAAGTTTATAATGAACTAACTAACTGCTGGCTAGTGCCAAGCAGATGGACTAACGCATGATACAGAGGAATGATGCAAGTGAAAACAAACACTATAAGGAGCCTCACTTGGATTTCCAGTCAATGGCTTCCCGAATAAACAGAACTTTAAGCCCACACTGAGGATTATTTGCAGCCGAAAGGAACTAAAATATTCCAGCTTTTTTGTCCTAAACATCCTTTGTGGATACACAATAGAAATGCACTTAAGTTATGGATACATCTCCCTTTATTTTGCTGTTCTCACGGCTGCACTCTATTCACACACGGTTCTGGGAGGTGCTTTGCAATCTTGTGCGTTTCGAGGTATCTCTACCGGTGACTGCGCACAAGTTTACAGGCACAAACATTTACATTTCACAATAAGAGAGAAACGGAGAGAAAGCGTAATAAAGGGCATACTGTAGACAGAATGCAAAAATTGTAACCTTTGCCCCAAACCACATCCAATATCTACAGCAGTCGTGGCACAAATGCAGTGTGTTTCAGTACAATATGACAGGCAGTCTGATTCTCTTATCATGAACACTTGGGCTCATGGTATAGGAGAGTATAGTATATATGAAGATACACAGGAGTTTTTTTTTTAAAAACTGATCTTGAGAAGCAAGATACAAATTTAGTATGTACAGTGGGCTGTTATAACATGCTTCATTATAGCGCTCGATCGTTTAGAACACGAGTGGCGCCAGATCCCATTACCTGTGCATTCACACAGCAGGCTGGCAGGCTGACTGCTGGGTCATCAGGTCATCAGGTAGTGAAGTTCAGTGGTAACCTGCTGATTTGGGACATTGGTCTCTTTTTCAGTGCAGGAATTAGCCGGCAAAGAGCGACACTGGCCATCAGACCTCGTTACAAGGCAGGATGGGACTGTGTGGAAACTCACCACTGAGTTGGAACAGGCTCCACTGTCGTTACACCACTTGAATTTTGGTTTGCTTCAATGCTTTATGACTAGTCTATGGTACATCAACCAGTTAAGTGGGGCATCAATTTCCTGGCCACAAATTTGCTGCATCGACTCTCAGGAATGACATGTTGTGGATTACAACCACTCTGAAAGAACACTGTCTGTTGTGCCAAGAACACCACGCTGGCCTTAGCCAGACTGCTTCTAACTTTACTGCTGGTGAGGGTGCCAGTGAAATAGATTGTGACGGAATTGCACTATTTCTTTGCAAACTCCTATATAAAAATTAATTTTAACGGTTAAGTTCCATTTGTGCACATTTTTCTTTTAAGCGTCAGAATACAAAGCAAGAAAAAACAATATCGCTTGCCAGTGCAAAGTGCTCTACGTCTTCAGCCAGTGATGGGTACAGTTTATAGAGAGGCATGCAAAGCTTGACAGTGCGCAACATGGAGAAGAGAACTTACCCCACGCTTCAGGCTCCTGAAACAGTGGATTTTGGGTTTGGAAGTCATAAACTCGTTCAGGCGGTGGGAGAGGGGCTCCTTTTGCTGCTTGGGAGACTGAGGGCCGTTGGGAACAGCAGAAGGTGAGGAAGAGGAAGGGGGCGGAGGAGGGGGCTGATGAGGAGATGTCAAAAGGGACATAAGCTACCAGTAAGAGATCGAGGAAGTAAAAAAAGGGAAAAGGAAAAAAAGGAAAAAAACAGAAATAAGATCCCAAAACACAAAAAGCCACACAAAAACAAATATTAAACCGCAACAAAGAAACATCCGCACAGTAAAAGTGAAAATATACATAAAAGCATTGTGTTAATGAAACAAACATTTCAAGATTTAAGATACAAAGAATGAGATGAAATAAGAGAATAATGAGGATGGTTTGATAGGAGAGCTCATGCAAAAGTAGTTGCTGTTCTGCAAAGCATGCACACCTCAAATCCTGTAAAGGGTAGATATATATGCCAGTGGATATGCCAGTTTACCTCTGCTGCCTTGAAAAGGAAGATTTTATTACAACCGTTCATAAATTGCAAGTTTGAACTACGTCTTTATATCCTGTTCCCACGGGCCATGCATTTTGTTGTAATACCCAATTATTTGTGAGGTTGGCAGCTTTACTTTCTCTCCCCAATAGCTATGTGCCTTCGTGTGGTGAACACTAAAACGTGGCAAGGATCTTCGCATGGAGCCCTGAAAAAGTCCACGCAACGCATGGCTGTGGAGCAGTGAACAGCCCTCATAGCTATGTTTTATTACTTTACACACTAAGAGGAAGAACGACCACCCAGGGAGCCAGATTGAGTCAGTAAATTCGAGAGGGAATTGGGGAACTATTTGGAATGCAATGAAAGAGCGAGAGAGAGAGCTCAATGGAATTTTACTGAAAAATTACTCTTGAGCCAGGTACCTTTCAGGGCCTGGATAATGCGGAAGCTCCTCCATCATCATGTGCAACAGATAAAAACAAGCAACAGAAAAAAGGATTGGACAACTCTTGCTTAACTTCTAGAAAAGGGCTATTTGGGTTCACACCAGTATTGGGAGAGGGCCCCCGTTTAATCAGTCTTTTAACCAGTTAGTATTTTCGCCCATAAAATATACAGTCAACAACTTGCATTGATATAGCGCCCCACATGTAGGGTAGAGTCCCAGAGCACTTGACAGTGGTGGAGCGTGACACCAGCCGTGGAGGGGAGGTAACCAACCGTAGCATGGTTGAATAGGAAGGTCTGAAGATGGGGAAGGAAGGGGCAAGGCGGAGGGATACAGGATGAGTGTTCGAGTCAATTCACTTTACAGTATGTTCTGTGAAGATGTGATAAGGCGCTATATCAAATGCAAGGATTATTATTATTATAGTCTGTGTTGAAGGTTGACCTGTTCTGAGCTCTGTAAGTTGCTGGACTGTGCAAGCTGAGCAGGGCTTGGACCCGTTTGCCCAGAAAGAGGACACAAGTTGCTGATTTCCATACTTACGTAATCCTTTTTGATACATCGCATTTGATTTTAAGTCATATTTGAATGGAAGTATTCAAAACGTTCTCAGAAGAATTTTACAATTTGGGTGAAAGCTGCTTCTTCGAATAATAGCAAAGAGAGCGATCTAAAATTGATGCCAAAGCAAAAAAGATCTTCACTGTGTGAAGTTGCTGGAGACCTGGCATACCCACCACACAAGGGAACTCCTATGGAGAACGAAATCACCGAAAAGTACCATACAGATCTAGTGTTCAACCCGATAAAACAGTCAGTTACATCGATGGGAGTTTAGTAGATGGAGTAAGAAAATGCTGCTGTATGTGAACAGAAAGGTTAGTCAGTTAGCAGAAAAAGAAAAATGATGTTTTTTTCAGCAAAATCAAAAGTGACAATGGCAACCACAAACTGAACAAGAAAACTACAATCTAAACATTAAAAATGGAAGTCAAATCAAAATTAATTCAAATTCCAATCCTGGAACATGACCAATAACACAACACACAGGGCTCCCACTATAATGGTCAATGGAGCCAACTCCAGGTGCATTATGCACACAGGTGACGAATGCTTTTACCTTGTTTTTTTTGATGAAAGGCCAGAGCTTGCCCTTGGATTTTCCACTCCTAGCGTCTTGTTTGCCGTCTGTCCTACTGTTGGAGAGGCTGGTTTCAGAAACCGTGCGCTTCATTGGCTGACTGAAGTCTTCAAAATCAAAATCTCCCGGGCATTCAAAGCCAGACTTGAAGGTCTCAATCACCGACTGTGCATCCTGAAATCACACAGAAAGTCCATTCTAGGAACCAGCTTGCATTTGGACACAATAACACACCCAACAGCCCATTTTCCTGCAAGAAAGGAAACCTCCTCCCAACCAGTCAGAGCAGTCAAGGGGAAGGGTTTCACTTCCCAGCACTGAAAACTCACCTCAGGGAGCACCGTGTTTCAGCAAAGAGAGGCCAAGAGCACAGGTTCTCTCAGGGGCTCAGTCATTAAATGCATTTCCCAATGGAGAAGCCACCAATACAGATCAGGGAAGTTGAATCAGACAACATTGGCTCACTGTTCTTGGTAAAATTACTCTCAGCACAAGAGGGCCCAACTTCACATTCTGGGTTTTAGCCTGTGCCAAGTGCTCCATCAGCTGAACGCTCAGCTCAGGACAGTCCAAGGTTTGCTTTGCCAGTCTTACCCAAAGCTCATGTTCATTAACAACAGTCACGCTCACTGCCCGCTTTAGCTACATAAATTCCCTCTGTATGGTTTATGGTGATACCTGCAAATGTGATCGTGGTGAAACATGGAGCCCTGTAGCATAGTGGTTAGCGCGCTCAACTCGCAAGCAAGAGAACCCGGATGCAATTCTCAGGTGGGGAGAAACCTTAAGCAAGTTTCCTTATTCTACACACCTGTTTACCTAGCAGTAAGTAGGAACCCAGTTGTTAGTTGAATTACGGATCACTTTCTGGAAGTAATAATCCCTCAAAAAAAAATCTGGTCACTCAATCCACAACTGTCCGTAGAACACTGCTGTGTGCAACTGGCTGCCGCATTTCATCAACAAATTACACAGTCAATCCACTATATATTCTGCGAATCGCTTTAAGATGTCTCGAAGACGTGATAAGGCGCTATATCAAATGCAACCATTATTATTATTTCAACCTCTCGAGAAACCCAGGGCTCTAATGGGACTTTGTTAAAATGTTGGTTTTGAATCAGCTCTTTACGAACGTTATCTCACTAACAAACCATTTGGAGTGGTGTGCATGTGCAGAATGCTCAGCATCTGAGGCCAAATAGTCATGATCTTAGTCTTAAGATCACTAATATATAGGATTGTGTAATATTTTGGAAAATTCTCACATTCAATTTGGAAGCCAGTTCTTTTTCAGAACTGTGGAAAGTTCTTCTAAATGTTACTGAAGTTAAGACTTTTCCAAAATGCTGCACAACGTGAAATTTTAAGGCGATTATCTTGAATACCATGAGGTTTTCAGATTCTAAAATAATCACCTAAATAATAAAATAATCATTTAGTAGCTAAAGTAAACACAGCAAAGCACTTGACTTCACACTCTAACAAGTGAAGAAATCACATATTGTTAATAACTACTGGAAGTATTTTTCTCGAGTAAATGACAAACAAGAAATGACTTTAAATCAGTCTCTCTGGCAATCCCCATGTGTATACCACACCCTTGCTCTAATCCTCCCCATGTACACACCACTACCATTGTTGGACCTCCCCCCCATCACTCCTCCATGTGCATACCTCCTTTGCCCTTAGACAGATATATGTTAGGTTGGTGTATTAAGGGATATGGGGCAAGGGCGGGTAACTGGACTTGAGGTTTATAAGATCAGCCTTGATTCTTATAAAATGGTGGAACAGGCCTGAGGGACTGAATAGCCTACTCTTGTTTCTATGTTTCTACAAGAGATAACAAAAAGAACATCTAGAGACAACTTCAGCTGTGTCCCACGGTACCAAGGAACGATTGAGTCAAACAGCACAAAAGCAGTGATTTAGAGGCACATGCAGTCGGGACTGAATGAAGAGGCCACCTGCAGGAGCTCTGATGACAGCGATGCCTTATAAGCCAAACAGCTGTAAAGGGCAAGCGCTCTATCACTTACACAATTGTAACCCTGACAAACCAACTCATTCTTGAACAGAAGTGAGTCATTGGTGTGAAGACAGAGCTTCCCATCACCAGTTGCACGTTTATTCAAAAACAAGAGATCTGATTGCCATAGTGCTGCTGTTCAGTTTTTAAAGAGAGAACAGCGACTGAGCCACAGTAAACTGGGTCTCCATGGAGCTGAACTGGCAGTCTCAGTAGCCCCTTTCCTGAGCCAAGTGGGTCCACAGTACAGGAGGGCACTGCTGATGACAGCCTAGCCTGATTTGTTGGCAGGATGTGGAGGGGCAGAGTAGTCACTGGAGGCAGGGATTCTTCCCACTCAGCTCCCGTTAACCCAACAAACCACCCTCAACAGGTAGGATTGGACAAGAAGTGGAGAGCTTGCCACACACTGCTTTCAATTGGAAGTTATGTGGCTTTAGCTATTAAGCTCTAGCAGTTAACTCTAACACACACTCTGAGGTCTCCAAGCTTTGGCTCTTGACAACCCGCACATATTACTCTCCAGAATTAGGTAAGCAGACAGAGAGACATTCTGTTGCAGGCACAGGACAATTTCTATACGCAGAAACATATGTGGAACTTTTATTTTGTTTTGGATGCTCGTAAGTATGATGGTCAGACACCTGGTAAACCAAAAGAGAAATGACCGCCATCTTATTTTAACAACAGGCCTCTGAACGAGCATGCTCCAAAAAAACAATCGTTCACGGCTAACTTTACCCAAATAAAAAGACCTTTTTCTGCCTCCTCAGGATCACGTCTCACAATCATCAACAAAACAAACAGCTGCATTCACAAATGATCAGCATTTTCACATTTTGTACAATGTTGGTAAATTGCTAAATGGAAACAGTCATTAGCATGCAATAATTTCTCCTCTGTGTTGCAACAACTGTGAATCTGCTCACAGTCAGCGCTTCAACACTGGAGAAAAGTGCCGCCATGCACCAACAGCTTACACAGATTTAACAGGGAGATATTTTAAAGGAAAATTGTTTTTAATCAACAGCCAAGCGCGATTCCGCTTAAATAGGCTGTTTGCTCGCTCGCTTGCCCTGATGTAGGTTTTGACTTCTTTTCCTTTTACTGGGGAAACAATTCCACAGGCTCCAAAACAGGTGGCCTATCTTAGCTCGGTATATCTATTCTTAGTCTTCAACAACAACAACTTGCATTTATATAGCGCCCTTTGCACGGGGTAGCGTCCCGGAGCGCTTACCCATCCGTAGTCTTGAGGTATCATCAGCAGGGTATTCAAGTGGAGGGGATGAGAGAATGGGAAATCAGAGCTATGCTAATCATGCTCTCACTCAATATTCACACACCTTATCTTCTATACTAATAAAGACAAAATGTCTGTCTGTGTGTCTGTCCACCAATAATGCAATAACCGATTGACATAGAGACATGATTTATACGTCATCGGAAAGGACTTGCATGGGGGAGTGTCATGGGCATTTTTTTTGGGGGGGAATCTCCTATCGTTGATGAGCTTTATTAAAAAATGCTTTAATTAAGTTCCAAAATGAGGGATACATGGTATTCTGCAACAAAGTAGCAACAGAGGAAATCACACACCCTTCTCGAGAGTTATATCTATGCTAATAAAGACCAAATGCCTTTCCGCCAATAACGTAATAAACCGATTGACATGGAGACATGATTTATACCTCATCGGAAAGATCTTGCAAGGGGGGAGTGTCATGGGCATGTTTTCAGGGATCTCCTATTGTTGATGAGCTATGACCTAAACAAGCTCATCACACATGTATGCTTAAGGTGTGCACACAATATCTATGGCATGTTAAATGGCTTGTGAGTGGTATCACTGAAATCTACATTCCATACGGGATCCTTTGGTTGCAAGTGTAGCTGTAATGGGTACAGCCAGTATAATATAATAATAATCCTTGCATTTGATATAGGCTGCCGTGTTTCGCCCACAAAATATATTCTTCAGTTTATTCTGATCACGTTATTGAGACATCTCAAAGAACTTCATTGAATATGCTGTAAAGTGTAGCGACTGTGTGCTTTGTGGGTGAAAAGTGGCAGCCAATTGCGCACAGCAATGAGATGACCACAAAGCTTATTTAACCAAAGAAACGGAAGTCCCTTATGAACAGGATGTGACTACAGGGCATTGGCTGATCTATTTGAGGTTAATGAACTAACAAAGAATGCAAAAGCATTTTAACTCCTTCCCTTTAACAGCCCATTATTTCTGTGTAGTTACACTTCCACCATTTTGTCATAAGGAACAACTGTGCTCATACTTCTTCCAATATAAAATGCTAAGTTTCAGTAAGGCAGCCAATCGATGAACTGACGAAACGCATCTCAAGGTTTAACAAATCAGAAGGGTTTTCTTTAGCTGATGCAATATCTTGCACGTAGCAACACCAAGGCAACGGAATTGAGAAACTTAAAAGATGAAATAATGCTCCATGGTTACACGGATGGGTCAGCAAGGTTACAAGTACACAGCCACCCTCAATCCCCCCACCCCTGAAAAAAGTCCATAGATGATCAGTTGCTAGCAACTGGAAAAAGAATATCAGTGTGGCCTAAGTTTTACAGCTGGGCAAAACACATCAATGGCAGAGTACAACTTGAATTAATTGCTACGTTTAAAGGGCTCCATCAGGAATTGGTGGAAGCTGGATGGTTTCTTTAAGTTTTAGGCAGGCAGTCAGGTTGTCAGTTCATTGGTAGATTAATACAGAAATCCTAACCGTGCATAAGGCAAACAACCACTGGAATCAGTCAACCCCACAGTAAAGATTGAAGACGTGCTTACTTGTTTCTGGTCAATCGATTCAGCCGCTGCTGTGATCCCATCGAGACATTTGCCAATGATGGGAAGGACCTGGCGCTCAACCTCTGAAAAGGTCTTCATTGATTCACCAATTCTGACAATTCGTCTCTCATCCATATCTTGAATTTTCTGAAATCAGAACTTTACTGGTGAACACGTTTCCAGTGAATTAACAACAACAAATTACATTTGTATAGGGTCTTTCATGTCAGGAGGATGTCCCAAGGCGCTGGACATATTGACCACTGTGCATTAGTGTAAAGGGGAACGCAGTTGGCAGAGACACTGCTCCGGAAACTAACCGGCACCAGGAAGCAATGGTTTCAGGAGTGCCGTGATTCACACTCACAGTATAAGTGCAGCTGAATCCCACTGGTTACCCCCTGCCCCATTCTAAGCTCTCAGGCTTTGAATGAACTTCAACTGTGGGGATTTCGTGCCATTTTCTCCCCTCCTTTCTCTTTCCAATGGGGAAAGTCCCACAGACGGGACCTAACACAAATTCCGGAAATTCACAAGTGAGCTGTAACAGGACATAGTCACTGGGGTGGCATGACAATCTTGCTGATCCAGAGCTGCTCAACTCATGGGTAGGTCATTGCAGGACCAGTCACCCTCGAGGGTCTACACACCTTGTCACTGAACATGGAAATTTGGATGGGAACGGGAGAGGTGGCCAAGAGTTAGTCTTAAGGTGGGTTTTGAAAGCAAAGGGGAAAGGGCCATGGCAAGGGGCCCAGGCCCAAGGGGGCTGTGGTAGAGGGTCCAGGCAGGGAGGGAGGTAGTCGAGGGCAGAGGGGTTTTATTTTATTCTAATCGGTAAAGATACTGTTTGAAGGCTGTTGAAGGCTGAACTGGCTCAAGTCCAACTGACCTGGAAGATAGCAGGTATTTTTGTGTAGTAATGTTCCTGCTGCTCCTTGTTGAAGTGCTGTAACTTGCTGGCGTAATCGCCCTTACTCTCAGACGCCATCTGGTGCCGACCCTGGGCTTGCTGCCGAGCCTGGGAACAACCATCATAAACGCAAATTAATGGAGATTGCTATAAGATTGAAGTAGAGCAATCACTATGCTATTTGTTCAGGTGGATGTTAAATAACTGGAAAAAAAGGGGACTTTCTCAGTGTTCTAGCCAACAACCCTCCAGATAAAATTAGCTGTTCACTTATGGCTTTTTGTAGGTCATTATTAGCGTGAAAGGAATGGGGGAAGACACAAAAGAATAAACCAGGATAAATGGATCGGACCCTGTAAGTGTTGTGGCATTTTAATATTAAAAGTTTAATACTTGAATTTAGAAAACTTAATTAAGAAAATTATTTCATGGCCTGAAATGTGAAAAGTATTCAGACATCAGGAAATAAACGATGGATTACACATCCAAGATAAAGAGCGAATCTCACCATCAATTAAAATGCCCTTTCATCTTCATCAGTTAATTTATTGAATATTTTTGCTTAAATAGTAAACACTACTTCTACTGACGTGATCACAGGGTATCACAAGGCACAGCAAGGAACTCATTGAGCATGGCTGCACATGAGGTCTGAATGAACCTACCATTGAAATGAACTCAAACTGAAATGACAACCAGTGAACGTATCCACCGATCGCCAGGCAAGCATGAGTGAAGCCAAGCTATTTTAGAGGCTGAAAAGGATTTTCAGTTAATGATATTAATGTATTTTGCCTACTGATAAATGTGTCAAGGTGCACGCAGCACTTTTGCTTTGAAGTTCACAATTCTTATTGTGAGATATATGGAAAGAATGCAAATGTAGACTGGGTTCCTTCCATCAGATTTGATTATCATAAAGGTTATTTGCTTTAGGCCAGAAGCCAGTTATATGCATATACCAACTCTGACATGTCTGCCTGGGCTGATGGAATGTGACACAAACACTTTGAAATGCATGGGTTTCTATGATACCATTTCCCATAGGTATATTTTGAACCCTGCAGTTCCTGATATGATGCTCTCCTGATCTCCTCATCTCAGCTGGAAAACAGGACAGACACTGAGAGGCCCATCAGGAGAAACTATAACTATAGTGGACAACCCTACCCAGGATCCTTCATTGTACCTAGCACTCAGAGATTACTGCACGAGACACAAGCACTTCACCAGCCTGGCTTCCCCCATTGTGGAATAATATAATAATCCTTGCATTTGATATAGCACTTTTCACGTCTTCTCGATGTCTCAAAGCGCTTCACAGAATATGCTGTAAAGTGAATTGACTGTATATTTGTGGGCGAACGCGGCAGCCAATTGCACACAGCAGTGTCCCACAAATAGTCGTGGATTGAAAATGACCAATTTATTATTGTTTTGTTTTGGAGGGATTATTATTAGGCTCTGTGTGGAGTAAGGAAACTTGCCCAAGGTTTCACCCTGCCTGGAATTGAACCCAGGTGTCTCGCTTGCAAAGCGCGTGCTCTAACCACTGAGCTACAGGACTCCACAAATATCTATCAATTACTTCCAGAGATATAGAAAATAGAGAGCCCAATACGCTTTAATTATCTTGAAGTACAACATCTACAATCTACCAACAGGATGGACCCGCAAATAAAACCCAATTAGGAGGAAAGTTCTTTGATAGACCAAATGGTTTGATGTTTAAATATTAAGGTTAAGATTTCCCCAATGGCTCAGTGGGTAAATATCCAAACTATACAGACTGGGAGAATCCAGATCAGTCCCAGTCTGTGTTGGGAAAGCCAATCTCATCCAGGCTAGCAGTGAGAGCAGGACAACTGGCCTCAGATCCTGGATTAGCGAGGGCAGGCGAGGGAAATTACAGCCAGGAGCAGTTAGTAGATGTTGGGCAAACCCAGGATTCCGATCGTCTGCAACCCCCATAAAGCCAAAAATAATGATTGAAATGTATGAATGAAAGGATCCCAGTTTGGCACCTGACCTGATTGCTGACTTTTTTAAATGACAATAATGACATTCGTCAATTCCTCCTACAGCCATCCTTGAAAATGGACTTATTGCCATGACGTCCCAAATCAAATGCTTTTTTTTAAAACAAGAAAAACGTTTCAAAATGCAAAGTTCACATTTGGTCTGTCCGGAATATAAAATCAATAATATCAGCAGCACCTCACTACCCTGCACCACTCCACAACAGCCACTTGGCACAAAGTCTATGCCGACACTTTGCCAAATTGCTTCAGCATAACAGGAAGCAGATGAAATGAGCCAGCAAATCCCAATGTCACTGGCTTGGAATACTCTGATTCTGACTCAGATATACATTTCTATGAATCACCATATTCCACATAATCTCTTCAATCAGCAGTGCCTTATAAGGAATGGATGTTGTGAAGACATCACTCAGTTTGAGAGACATCAACAATTTTGGTGCATATTTGTGACAGAACATTATCATAAAGAATTTCTGTGTTGCTCGTCTTCCTCCTCAGATTTTTAAGATGCAAAAAATCTCTGCCCAGTAACAAACTCCCCTTTGAAGTGTCCGCCACTATTTCATTTCCTCTTTAATCAGAACGAAGGAATGAGATGAGGCCACTGAGCTTGTGCAGCTCGTATTTCAGGACTCGCGCAGACCATTTTTCATTCAATTTCCTCTTAAATACTTTAACAGAACCTGTGATTATTGCATTCGATTGCAATCCATCAATGGGACAGGCACCAACATGTGACTTCTTAAATTTAGTTTTTTTGCTTATATTTTGTTTTACTAGATTTACAAACAATATCCAAGTAAACCTCTGCCTCCATGTAATTTCCTTCATTTCTTTACTCCTGTGAGTGTCATTTTAGACTATGGAACCTGAACCCACAACCTTCTGACTTAGAGACGAGAGCCAGGCTGAGACACAGAATGAATGGATTTCTTATTGTTATATCAGTTCTCTTCACATTCTCTTTATTTCATAGGTTTGTTGATACAGTTTACTGTACTTTTACTATTTTCATAAATAAAGCTATTTTGGTAAAATGAAAACATTTAAATACATCCAAAATCACGACTGGCGTGAAAGACTTTGGGTGGAATTCTCTTTGCCTTTGTGGTGAATTGGGAAAATTCCACACTGCGTCTCGAAAACAACTCCTATTTTTTTCCATTTTGGAACTGAAACAAGTCACATCCTCTGGCTTTCAAGAATAGCAGGATTCAAAATATTTGAACTGCATTGAGTTTCTCTCTCCAGATTACTCGGGTGTCATCTGAAGAGAGACAAACAGCTCAATAACTCACTCTGCAGACAATGTCAGAGCAAGTTTCAAAGCCATTCAGAGAGCACAATAATTCTCTGTTCAAATAAGAATCTCACCATTATCCCCCCACCCCCTTCCCCTTTTAAACTTTCAACAGCAACTAATGATTAGCAACATCAATATCCTTTATTATTTCTTTCAAACACCATCCAGACTCCTGTGGGAATGTGCATGACTCTGGATGTCAGGTGAGGACTGGGATGGTGGTGGGGGGGTGGGGACAAGAATGTGCGAGGGAGACAGCACGCGAGAGGGGTAGAAAGATAGTATGCAAGAGAGACCCAGTGAGAGAGAGACAGCACGAGAGATAAAGAGAGAATGCGAGAAATAGAGAGACAGTGCGAGTGAGCATGCAAGCAAGCAAGGTTGTTCCTACAAATAAACAGTCACTACACTTTACAGCACAATCATGTAGTATGCTTTGTGACAGCATGATTAGTTGCTGTATCGAGTGCAAGGATTCTTTATTAATAATTTTTTAATCCTTATATTTGGAACAGCGCCTTTCATGACAGCAGGCCACCTCAAAGGTAGACAGAGCCTTGGGTAGCAGAGGAATAAACAGGAGAAACAGGTTCATTGTGCTGAATGGCCTCCCCCTGTTCCTATATAATCAGTAATCCAGTTCTGTGAGATTAACTGCTGCTTCCACTATGAGACATCACGATTCACAGGTTCCAATCCCATTTATAATCCCACCAATTGCTGAAGGACTTGTAGCAAAATGACATTCTCCACCTCTGCAAATATCTGATGGTGTTGGCTCCACAGATGTGAATGTAACTATAAATGCATTTACTGATTCACTTTGTCACCGTTCAGCATTGAATTAGATTTTGGAGCTATCTCTCTCTCTCTCACACACACACACACTGTAGCCCTCAGAGGGTTAAATATGATAAACATGATAAGGAAGTGTAAAGACCCATGTGTAGGTTCAATGATTCTTTGCCGCATAAGCTGACAAAAGGACACGACTCCAAGCTAATTCTACATCCCTCCCGAGTGCAGTCACATGGGGTTTACCACAAGAAGAAAGGGCATTATTCAAGGCGCAGCATGGATGAGACACTCCAGACATGTGCATTGATCAAACACTGTACTCAGTGTTTTGCAATGTTATTGTACATTCCATGCATTTTAATAACCCTTTCGCTGCTCACTCAACGTACACACCATAGAAACTCTCACATACACACACACACAGAAACACACACACGCTCACCCAGAAACATACACGTACAGATAGGCATATACAACAAAAACCACAGCAAATTACATTTGAATAGCGATTTTCATGTAGGGAAGATGTCCCAAGGTGCTGGACAGTCAGGGATTTGGACCTGATTAGGGGGTTGGGATCAGGGGGGAGGGGATGGAGAGCAGGCAGAGTAGGACTAAGAGGGTGGCCAAAGGCACAGTCAAAGAGGGTCTTGAGGTGTGCCGTGAAGGAGGTAAGACATTTTCCCCACAAATATCCAGTCAATTCACTTTACAGTCTATTCTGTGAAGCACTTTGAGACATCTAGAAAAGCGCTATATCAAATGCAAGGATTATTATTATTATTAAGGCGAAGGGACTGTGGGATGGAGCTCCAAAGGGTGAGGGCAGAGAGGCTGAAGGCCCGACCGCTAATGGTGGGGCGGGCTGGGCGGGGGACGTGAAGCAGGCCACAGCCTATGAGCAGAGGGAGTGGACAGGTTGATATGGGGTTAGCAGGTCAGAGATAGGGAGCAGCAATGCCATG